TGATCATTGACTGTCTCTCCGTGTGTGCATATGTGCGTGTATGTGCGAATTTGCATATCTTAGGCTACCTGTTTGCAAAGACTGCATTACGATATTCTCCATAACACTCTTGAAATTGCGAGAAAAAAGACAACGAATAGTAGTTATTTCCCTGTAAATCAAAAGATGAATATACCTGGTGGGATCTGTTGTTGTGTCGGAGTTGGAAATTGTGGTTTTTGGAAGTTATTTTGTTGAAAGAGTTGCTGTTGTTGAAACTGTTGTTGTTGCTGAAACTGTTGTTGTTGATGCTGTTCTGCTCCTTCTGGATTGCGGTAGATCACTAGATAGTCAATCGAGAAATAGATTATCGCAGGCAACTCCTAGATTGTTCGATGTACCTTGAGGACGAACAGTACTATTCAATTCAGCACGAAGTCGATTCATATCCGAACGAAGGATTATTGTTGGTTGAGGCGCCTGAATATAAATTGGAGGAAGTGGTTCTAAAACAGATAAAACAGTTCGTATGAAAACATTTGGACGAGTTTATTTTGAAGATGAATCTGTACCCAGTAAACCTCCTCCAACTGGTGCATCTTGATATTGTTGTAATGTTTCATTTATTACTTTCGATTGAAGATCAACAAGTACATCATTAACAACAGCTTGCGAAACAGATAATCCTTCGACTTGTGATGTATAACTTGGAATGCCTGGCGGAGGTTGAGATGGACCTGGCGGCCGTACAGGTCGTTGCTGTTGTTGTTGGTGTGCCATGAATGGTGCTCTTATGGGCTGTGATAATCGCTGCGCCACAGAGGGGCCAAGTACAGGAATATACGGTCCTGCATTAACAGTATTAGTAGTTGTAGTAGTTCTAGTATTCGATATAGTCGCTGATTGTGCTTGACCTCCAACTTCTAGCTGATGCCTACGAGGTAAAAATGCGTGAATCAATTAACTGGGTCGAGCGAGTGAAATTGAAAAAGAAGAAAGGCTGTGACAGCGCATCTATACCGACATAGAGAGAGTAGGGAAAAAAAGGACGCCGTCGATTCGTTCGCTCTACGTATGCCTTTAACCCTGAAAATGGTCCATTAGCAATTTTTCTCCTTTTGCTTCATTTTATATTTCTTCTCAATCACGAGAACATAGTTGTGCCTATCAGAGTAAGACGAAATAAATCGATATTGAGGACCCTTCAAGCAATCAGTCGTGTCCATCTTGATGTCGTGTTCGTTGCGCAAGATATACTCTCATTAGAAAACGAAAAGAAAAATGAATCAATCAATAAGACAATTTCCTCCTATTGAACAAGTGACACGAACTGTTCAATATTTACCTAAATGGTGATAAAGTGGGTGTTTGTGCATCGGGGAAATATTTGGACATCTCTGCCGCTGAATCAAGGCTAGATATAGAATGAAAAGAACCGGTTGATTGTACACCGTCATAGGTTTTTGTGGGAACCGAGTGCACTCCTTGTTGTTGTTGTTGTTGTTGTTGATAACGATGTTCTGCTGTAATGACATTTGACTGTTCCGTTCCATGAACTAGATTATAGAGACAAAATCGAGATTCTTATCTAGAACTGTTATGCTGTTCGAAAGCAGAAAAATGATTTTTACATAACTTTAATTTAAATAAATATACCATAAAAGTAATTTCGAAAGTTTTCAATAAAATAGAATACTAGGTGAGAAATAATAACTCTTCTCGTTCACTCTCTCTCTCTCTTTCTCTCCTTCACTATTACGTACAAGATGTTGCATATCGATTTGGTACATTCTCAGGACCATCGTCATGCCCATGATGATGTTGATGATGATGATGATGATGATGATATTGAAATTCTTCCATACTTGCTTTGTTGTTGCCGCTTTTCAATTAAATATTCTCGTCGTTTTTACTATTCTTTGATACAGCCTCTAAAATGTGTTCATGAAGAGTGAAAAAAATGAGTGATTGCTTGGTGTCGCGTCTCGATATAATATGCGGTAAGGATGAGAAGGGGGAGATATATCTCGCATATGAAAATGAATATGCGTAGCTGTCCGTTACACTTTGATGATTTTGTTATTCGTTATCGTCGTGTTGTTACTCTTTATTACTATTTATCTCTATTGTTGTCATCGCAAATAGACGATCAACGAACTAATTGTCGTTTACATAAGCGATAGAACGCAAAATGATTCGTAGATTTTTGTTTTCTAGGCATTGAAACGAGCAAAACAATGTGCTAGCATAGCCTTACAAGATGAAAACCTCATTGAAACAAGTTTAGAGTTCTATGGGAAAGTTTCTCAATTGTTATTACGATACGTTGGTGTCCGACCAACTGAGTGAGTACAAACCTATAGTATCTTAATTGAATCTCATTGTCTATTCAAGTTCTGAAGTCACATTTTCTTCTCAAACACCGTGGATATGGCGTCTCCTACCAGATTACTACATCGACGATATCTGGGACTTTCTCATGTCAGCTGCAATGTAAGTCCCATTTTTCAAACTCACCTGAAAACTGACGTGGTGAAATCAAAAGTGTGCATCAATATGTAGAATGAATAAACCAACGTCACTCTCAGTCATCTCGAAAGCATGACCGTCCTTGACAGAAGAATATCAGAGAACTATAATAGACATTTTTATTCTTCCGAATCAAACCGTGACAGATATCTTAGTAATGACACTATCACAGATTTTAATAGACAATAGTTAAAAGAGCATGACAGATATCTAACTAATGACACAATTACCAACCGTATCAAAATTTAGTCAACAATCACCGTCGCAGACCGTGACCAAGAAGACTATCGTTCGAAAAGAAAAATTAGTTCATATCAAGGTCAACAACTTTCTTTTGTCTAGGATGGTGCCACAAACATTGTCCAAACGTAATATCGATGACATTTTAACACTAATGATTTTCGTGATTTGTGCACCACGTCATTACATACAGAATCCTCATATTATTGCAAAAGCAGTAGAAGTTATCCATTGGTTATGTGCCAGAAGTGAACATACATTTCTCCGACAAGCAACAGAATATATATTCAATCATCGTCTAGCCCAAGATTCACTTGTCCGAGCATTGACAAAACTCTATGCGGGTAAATCATTCAAATAAATATTTGTTTTCTTCGCTGATCAAATATAGACATTCGGTTTGATTGTAGATGTCGAAACAACGGGTGCAGCTACAGAGTTTTACGACAAATTTAATATTCGTTATCATATAAGTATTATATTTAAATATGCATGGCAAAAACCGGCCTTTCGTCATTCATTTCTGACGACTGCTAGGTACAACTTCCAATGTCAAAGTTGTTTTTTGTTTCAAGTATCATTCGTTGTTTGTTCTAGAGATGAAAAAGAATTTATACGCTTTTTAAACATGGCAATTAACGATGTCACATATTTGCTTGATGAAAGTCTTCAATTATTAAAAAAAATTCATGATATCGAAACTGATATTGACAACAAGGAAGAATGGGAAGCAACGCCTATGGTATGAATTGCGTATATTCGACGTACTTATGAAATCGAGATTTCAAATCAATGTCGAGTTTTTTTCCTTTAGGAAACACGGATGACTAAAACTCAACAATTGAGTCAGTATGAATCGCAATGTTGTACGTATTTGCCTCTGGGAATGGAGACATTACACATGCTGGAATATCTAAGTGCCAATGAACCTGGTCCATTTTGTTCGCCGGTAAATGAGAAAGGAAAAGAGTGTGGAAAACAAGAGATGAGCGTTTGGTTGTGTTTAGGAATTAGTCGACCGTTTAGCTGCGGTACTGGATTTTAATTTAAATGAATTATGTGGTCCGAATAGTCGCTATTTAAAAGTGAAAGAACCGAGTAAATGTTGCTTTGATCCAAAACGACTATTGGAGAAAATTGTCGAACTTTACTGTAATTTGGTATGATAATTGAATTCGCCAGATGTTTTTTTTTCATTGAATTTGATTGCCTTTTCATAGACACGTGATGAACGTTTTGCTGAAGCAATTACACGTGATGAAGTATGAGAGATAATCTTTGAATTCGTTCGAATTTTAATCTTGATTTTCAGCGTTCGTACCGACCGACATTATTTCAAACGGCGATTGAACGTATGCAAAATCGCAATATTACAACATCATCTCGGCTGGAAATACTTTATAGTTTAAGTCAACAGGCACATGCTATTGCAGAAGAGAAATTAAAAGAAGAAATGGATCTGTCCGATGCACCAGATGAATTTCGAGGTAAAGAGAAGTAAATTCGACTTTTGTAAAAGTCTTTCTTGAAATTCTTTGTTCATAGATCCATTAATGTGCACAGTCATGACTGATCCCGTGATTCTACCAAGTGGAGTCACGATGGATCGATCAGTAATCACCAAGCATTTACTTAATTCAAGTACAGATCCATTCAATCGTCTTCCATTAACTGTTGATCAACTTCAGCCTGGTAAAAAAGCGTATCTATGGGAAATTCTCTTTGTTTCAACTGATTATTTTCATTTTAGCGGTTGAACTCAAAGAACAAATCGATAATTGGATACGCACTAAGAAAAATCGAACAGTTTAACATGTCGAGAAAAACCTCTTTTCATTTATTTTATTTGTTTGTGTTCTTTTGTCCTGTTCGTTAATGTGTTATACTGAGATTTCTAATGTTCTTTCATTTTTATTTATTGAAATATTTTGTCATCAACTCAAACGGAAAACGCAACTAAGAAAAAAGAAGTCATATCGCCTAGCAGAACATGTTTATCCTTTGAAATTTATTCTAGATCTGTTCAAATGGATATGGAAGATGGCATTCCTCGTCGGCAGCCTCTATCACGTGCACAATCCGCTCAACAAATGCATAAATTAGGAAAACGAGTCTCAGGAAAAGGCAATCAAGTACCACCGACTTATCTTTCCAGCCGATCGTATGATGATCTAAATATCAATCAGAAGAGTAAACCTTTAGTTGATTTAACAGTTCCAGCATGTAATTCCACGATGAAAATACTTGACCAGATGGAAAACTTGAAATTCGAGCAGTTTGAACCTGTTTTAACAACAACACATATGGAACATATTCATGAACAAGTACGAAAAGCCATTGTTTTGAATTTGAAATATTTCTAATGGATGCTCTAGGCGAACAAAAAGCTAAATTATTCGAATGAACGCGTTTATAAAGGCCTAATAGATCTCGAACCGAATGTTGAAGAGATCATCGCAGCAGCTGAACAACAAGAAATTCAAAAACGAAAACAAGCAGCGAAATTTCTCGTGAGTCAACATTCAATGTACCTAATTTCACAGTTATTAACTCGATGAGTTTGTGTGTGTGTTAATAAAGAACGTAAAATATGATCTTGAACGTGTTCGATTGATATCAACTGAATGAAAACGACATTTTGATTATTTGTCTTTAGGAAGAATATCAAGCGTTACAAAAGAAACGCGTTAAACCTGATATCATGGAATTATTTGATGAATCGAGTATGATCAAACAAAGTACGCGTATTAATTTAAAATCAATGAAACCTACGAAAATGAAAGCCAAGCAAGCGACGATATTTTCAATTAACAGTTTGAATCAAGCACAAACATTATGGAAAATTTAATTGATTTTTTTTTCTTTCTCTTCTCTTCGTTTGTGTGTATAACTTCAATTCTGTTTGTTTTTTTTTTAAATTAGTGTCTTTGAGAATGAATGAATGCTCTTTTCTCATATAAATATAATGCTTCAGATAGAATCTTTCATGGGGACGAATGATGATATACCAACATTAGTTGTAAGTGTTCATTGTCTGTTTGATCTTGCGTTTGTATATGTTCGTATAGGTTCTCGTCTTGGGTGATTCGAGTGAGATACAAATTTGTTCATTGTCCTTGATTTCGACTCATTTGGTAACTTATAGGTGTCGGCAAGACATCATTTGTGCATATGGTTTGTCATGATCAACCACTATCATCACCACCGCCTGTCACTGTGGGTTGTCATATTGAAATCAAGGTTCGATAATTGATTAAATAGTCGATGTTTACCTTGGAACTGCTTTTAATTGAACTTGACACGAGAGGAGTTATTGACGTTCATCAATTTCGTTTCAGAGACGAACTAATCCAAGGCAAAAGAATATATGTCGGTTTTCTTTTTAGTTATATGAACGACGTGATCGACATCAGAATCCGAACCTGTATTTTATTGAGTTTCATGATGTTGGAGGAAGCGTTCAACATAAAAACAGTCGATCATCGATGTTTTACGACGAATTCAATGGTAAAACGTCAAACACTTTTCATTTGCTAGTTTTATTTGATTTTATTTAGGAATTATTCTTGTGTCGGATTTAACTAGTCGACAATCGTATGATAATCTCAAAGAATGGTTATATGAAGTCATTCGCTATCGATCTCAACAGAAGCTGTATGTTCAAACAGTTTTCAAAACTTCTTTTCATTTATTATTTGTAGTCCAAAGGATTTCACACCTGAAGTTTTACAAAACTTTGATGTACCAATTCTACTGATACATACGAAGTTCGATGAATCGAATGGAACATCTTTGTTAAACAATAGTAAATCAACCAGCTCGGATTTATCCTCAACAAGTAGTTTATTACCGAATTATAATCGCAAATCTTCATTAGCAAATTTATTCAATTGTGATGAAATTTTCGTTGTAGGTAAATGTTGAAATGCTCGAAGAAATACTGCAGATTTTCATTTAGAATTGTTATTCTAACAAACGTTTCTCTGTGGATACACATAACGTTGCGAAATTGAATTCATTCTTCGAAAAAGTATGTTGAACGATAATGCATTTTCGAGATAATCATGTTCTCGATTTAGATGATTAAGAAAGTGTCAATAGAACATATTGAACCAGTAAGATTTTCAATATAGTTTTATCAATTGACTTTTGTATGATTTTAGATACAAAAATACGATTGGTTTGCTTCGGAAAATCATTATATTCATTGATTGTTTGTTTTGTCATGCAACATAGAACAAATGTGTTGATAATATTTCAATGGAACGAATGAATATCCATTGAGTTTGTTAGAATTTTGTTTTACTAATAAAAAACACAGTGCTTTCACACATATTTTGCTTTCATTTATATAACTAAACAGACGCGATAATGAATTTGCTCGAAAGACGAAGGAAATCGAAAGTTTATGTTATCTAAGGAAGGCCCTCGTGAATGAGTTTAGCTTTTCTTGAATGTATTTTTTTCTTGTTTGTAAACATATGTTAAAAAGAAATAAAAAATCACATAATTCAATCAGTTTCTTTTGTGTCTGTCTTTATCTTCGTCGATTTTCCTATTGAAGTAGCAATGCAACCTAAAAATATCGAATAAGTTGATTGACATAATAATTCTCTTTGTCAAACCTTTTCCGGGTTCATCTGTGGGCATTGCCAATTGTAAATATAATATTGAAGATTACCGTCACCAACACCAAATTTCAATTTTTCTAAGAATTCTTTATTATCCATTAAATCAAGTGCATTGAACACGTCAAAGCCATCCTAAATCGAAACAAATAGCTCAAAGAATCGTCTGATTCTCTTCTACTTTATGTGCTTGTACAAGACAGTCATTAACTAGATCACAAAGCGGCGTTCGACTTGCTGCATGGTAGTACATATAACATGCATTTAGTGTTTTATACTGCGGATGATTCATGATTGTTGACGAGAGATGATAATAAGAAATGAAATCGGTCAATTCGCCATCTTCTTGCTGAAAATAGTCGGAAAGAGAGAAACAAAGTTTGTTTGTTTTTTCAAGAGAAGATATGTTTCATTTGACATACTTCAACAACGAATGAACTGACGATGTTGGGACGATTTTGGCAGAGATATTCGAATTCTTCTTGGGTGAACACAGGTGACAAATCGAATTTTTTTAAATACTAAACAGAAAGTTATATCCAACGAGCGATTGAATATATTCTGGAGATTTACTTGAGCAAGTAAGGCAAATGCTCGTGGAATATCCGAATGACGCATTTCTCGAAAACCTTTAATTTGTGTTGCCTATTCAACAAAACGTAAAATCAGTATTTCTCTAAGAAAATTATCATTGATTACCTCAGGTAAGCGATGTAATTTCTGCATTCTTTGCACTGTCATATTTCTACTCAGATGCGAGAATTGAACAGCCAATAATTTCTTGACATTCAATGAACGATGCCAATATCTATAAAATCGAAAAATAGATCAACGCGAATTAACCAAAAATGCCATTGAATACATACCTACATTTGCTGACAATACCTGGTAGAACGACACCAGCTGTATAGACAGCCTGAAAGATGCCTTCCAAATTAACACGACGAGTGATTTCTTTGATTAGTACTGGTGCCATACGTTTTAAACGTAATTTTTTATGAACACAAAGAAAGTTGATTTCGACCATCGAAACTTCCCTTTAAAAGATGATGGAGAGTTATTTTATGAGAATTGACTCGTTTGAATGTATCTTACTTGTCGTAAACTTTCATTCTGATAGGTACTGCGCTGATAAATCCAACCATTTTACGACTTTTGGTAACTCGTACAGCTGCATGCCACTTTCGAAGCCATCCTGGTGCACATAGAGCCCTGAAATAAATGATTCTTGGACTTGGTTATTTTTCCTTGTGTCAAGAGTTTTACCAACGTAAGAATCCCATTGAATAATCGAAACGAAACATATTGTCATCATCTTCCACGTAATTCTCATTTAAAAGGACATACAATTCTTTTAACTAAAAACAAAATTCAGTTTGTAATCGATGCTTGTCTGATGATGTTTTCACTCACTTGTTCATCATCCATAACATCAATATCGTCCCATGAAAATCCGTCAGGCAGTTTATACGGATCTTGTTTCAATTCTTCAATTGGTTTGTTTTCTTCAACGGGTCCGTTATTTTCCGATGTGATCTTTGTACCAATGGTCGGTACGGGTTGTGTATGCCAAAATTTCCATTCTTGTCTCGACACCGCTTCTTCATCCGATTTCGGTGCACTTCGATTCGTGATGGCTGCTGATGCTTGTTCAACTAAAGTAATTTTCTTTAACATTTCTTGTACCGATCCGGTTTGAGAAGTCTATCGAAGAGAAAGAAAATCAATACGAGAATTTGTTTATTTTCTTATCCTACGGTAGTATGTTCGGCTGTTCTTGAACTATTGCCATCGACGACATCGGTCGCTGCAGCGGCACCTTTACTCTTAGATTTTTTAGTTGTTGATTTAGTTGTTGTCGAACTAGTCGTAGTTTCTGTCTCATTGACATCAGTTGATGCACTTTGATCTTGATCAGCCATAGTTTTATTGATCTAAAAGAAAATGGGAATGATAGTACATGAATGAATAAGCGAAATAGGAATAGAAGACTTTTGGTGACGAATACGAACACGGGTTTGATGACTAATCTAAAAAGACAAAAATCGTTGAATTATAGAAAAAGAATGACGAGGTAGTAGGGATTTATTTTCCAGACAACATGATTTTGTGTCTAGAGGACGCTGCGTGTCGTTTCTGAAGAGGATCATCAAGATCAAAATCTGAATGGTTAACAAATGACAAATGAAAGAAAGAGCATCTCATACGCACAAGAGGCAAAAAGACTTTTCGTTTTAGACCAGGTTAGATCGAATATTCGATGTAGTTTACGAAGGTGAGCATTTATTACTGTTACTGCAAGGCAACTGAGGAAGAATACAGTCAAAATATTGCTGTCAGCCGTTGGACTGCGAAAAAATTTGATCGAATTCAGAGTAATATCCGATGTTATCTCGTTTCGTAGAATACTGATGATGAACCTCATATTCTTCTCTAGTGTACTTTATTGTTATAACGTAATCGAATACAGTAATGTATATCGATCAAATGTACGACAAACATAGGTCAGCCGAGAAAGAGAAAGAAGATATTTGCTTAATAGACACACATGAATGAACATAATGAAAATAAGATTTTACCGTTGTAATCAACCAATCCTTGAACGAGATAAAGTTATAATAGGAAATTGAATTTTATCCAAGAATATAAATATTCTGTAGACACTACCATATATTAATATGCAGCAGATGAAAACACACATTAGAAGATCAGAAATAGCAACTTTACGTTCATTTACTTGAGAAATATGAATACAACACTACCAATACTCCAGATACTAATAGCATCGGCATTGGTTTGGTATTTCTATTGATATACGTCGAAGAAAAGAATATGATTGGATTTTGGAGTGCCGCATAAAATGTGAGTTTTTCGAGAAACTAGTAAAAGATTCAGCAGGTGAACATCTGACACGATACTCTATTTCAAGATACTTTCTTTTCCCTATTTGAACAGATATTAGTATTGACACTAGCAAAAACAAGAGGAGATTCATCGTAGTTGATCATCTTACAAAATTAGCCATATAAAATTAGGCTTGAAGACTTGAGCAGTCCATTCTCACTCAGAATCATTTAACTTTCTCTAATAACACTTTTCACATGTAGTTTTTACCTAATAATGGTAGTGCATCTCGTATGATATGTAGTTTTAGTTAACTGCGAAGATTTAAGTTGCCCCGCTCAAATTGTTCACTCCGCCAATAGATCTTCACGTGATAGAAAATGACAATTCAAGCGTTGGAATCCGCCGGATCCGTTTCAGACAATTCTAATAACAATACCAACATCAACAGCTCAGTACCGTATTATTTGGTACTGTTTTATTCTCAAATCAGAAATGGTCCGACTAAACGATCTTCATGATAATTAGAAACGGATAACTCCTTGTAAACAACGAAGAATCGATTTTATTGATATAGCCGAAGCTTTTCCTTACGCATACGTTAGCATTAATCAATGATATTTCAACACTTGATGAACTTCAAAATCGAACCAACTAAGAATTTATTTCTAGAAGAGAACAATCTTCTATGAGAAAAGAATCGATATTCTCACATGACTTTGCAGAATTAGTCATAAACGTGCCGTGAAGATATTTAGTTTTTATTTGTTGAATAAATGTTTCATTGGATTTACTGCTAATGAATATTTACATGCAAGCAATTCATCGTTTTCGATCCTTGCTTTACGTCGATACACACTAATATCAGTATTAGTTCTGCATTTCATTAAGGATGTGAACGAATAAGGAGTTTCATTATGACAATGTTGTAGGCGTGATCGATTTCGTTGTAAAAACAAGGTCTACGTTTGGTTGGCCGCAGTATAGGGTTTGGAAAACGGACCGAACGAAGTGGGATCTTTACCAGTTAATAACATTTGAAAATTGTACTTGTTCTCAAAGTTTTTCTTCTAAAAAAAATGCTTGTATCTGTGTTTTTTCTTTGAAATATTCCTAATCATTAAAAGTACAGCCTTACAAAACATTTTTTCTATAATATAGAAGAGAGATTTCAAACACTTTAATTTTGCATGTGTTCGGACGATTGTCTATTGTTTATAATAGTGTTTTCGTTTTCATTCTAATTAGCATACTACTGTAAAAATCGTCCGGTCTCAACTCTGCTTCATGAACTGACGGTGAATGTCATTCATAAGCATATTTGATCTAATATAATCAAGAAATCAGATGAAATTCTTATGGAAAAGAACTCACAGAAGATTATCCTCGTAAAATATGTACATATGTTTGCTTATTCATAAGCATTTTCATAGATAATCGACGAATGATGTGCACTCTCGTTGATTCCATTTACAACTGCATTCACTTTATTCAATACACGATTCTTGTGAGAATTTTTATTAGTAATCAAAAAAAGAGAAATATTTGAAATCATTTCATTATTCTCAATAGACTGGTTGACGGTTACAATTTCTTACACTTTGTTCATCATCTGACGGTTCGATATCCACAGCATATCGATCTCGACACAAACTCGTTATATTCTTCACACCATTCAAACGGAGTTTTAACAAATACGCATGATTTGTTGCATGATGCGGATCATAATTCAAATAACCTGGCAAAAACATTTCACATCGCCAACCACATCTCTCATAGAGTTCCAAAGCAGCTGTATTCATTGTATTAACATGCAATGTTATATACTGCACACCATTTTCTCGTTCATTTAATGATCGTTGAACAATATGTTGTAATAACCGAGTTGCTAAACCTTGCCTTCGATGTTCTTTTCTTGTTGCCATATAACAAATATATATACTATCGAATGAATCATTTTTCCGTGTTAAGATCGTCATTGCGCTAACATTTGAAGTGACGGATGTAGCGTTTTTAGGAACAAAAGCATAAGACAGACCGTGATTCTGGAAACATTGGATAATTGGAAGCCAAAATCTTGCTTTCGGCATTTCAAATAGATCTCTCAAAGTTTCATCAAAGAAAAGCCAACGTGAATGATAATCATAACTTCGTTTGGAATTCATCAACAAATCAATTTCAAACAATCGATAAAAGTCTTTATAATCATTTCCAATGCGAACGAATTTCAAATTCGATGCTCGATCGTAAAGATACGGTTTTGACGACATTCTAATCACATAGAATTAGAATAGAAAACACAAACCAAGAGGAGATTTACTTTAATGTACGTGGACAACATAGATGATGTTCATTACAAAGACCCATTCGTTCGCGACACGACTGACCTGGTGTTGAGCATTGTACAGAAAACGATAGAGTGGTTACATCAAACGTATGTAAAGCTTGTCGACCATTCGGACATCGAATAGTAAGATCCAAAAACGAGAAAACACTACAAATCGACAGTAGAAAGAAGAAATGTGTTGATCGAAACATGATTTTGTTTGTTTTTTTGTTGAATGAATTTCACCTGACTTCATCGAACGAGAGAAATTTGATCACCGTTGTAAATGTTATATTCATAGATAAGAAATACATCTATAAATAACTTCAACTAAGGACATCACTGTCTTCGCTAGATATAAAACACATTGATTTGTTTACAAACGTCTTCCAATCAAAGGAACGAATGAAACAAATTCCAGTCCATTCTTTTCGTATTTGAAAAAGGTACGATGGATCAACCTGACAACAATTTTCGACAAAATCATCATTCGACATATGAATATTCCAATAATTGTAAGTCTTCGAAGCACAAACACGGTTATACGCATTGATTACTGAGATTTTTCAGATATTCATCGAGAAAATTGTGAAGACGACATTTCATCAAACCACGAACGTGACGATGAAAATCGTCAACCTTCCCACTCTTTCGTTTACAAAAAACGAATACGAACAAAATTCAGTGCCGAACAAGTACAAATCTCTCCTTCTTTTTTTCTCTCAAAAGTTCTCATTTAGTTGGACATACTCGAATCGACTTTCCAGCAGCATCGTTATCCAAGTGTTAGTGTTATTGACGATCTCGTTGAACAACTGAATTTATCGACACAGAAGATTACAGTAAGAAAAGAGTAAAAGGAAATCAATACGTTCGTTTTGTTTCTGCATGTTTGGGTCTGGTTTCAAAATCGTCGGGCACGTTTGAAAAAAACTCAACAAAAGGTCGACAAAAACGAGAAAAAACAATACGATAGTGGGATTCAATTGGTAACTAGATTCAAAGATAAAAATACGTTTTCTTTTTCTATTTTCAAATCTTTCAGGATGAAGATGTTTCACATGACTCTTCCGTTAGTCCTCCAATAAACTCATTAAATCATCTACAACCTGCACCAACATCACATTTCGCTGCTGCTGCTTCTTCTTCTTACTACTTGCCCAATTCTCATATTTCCTTCTACAATCCAATGTGGTCGAATTTCCAGTAGGAAATCTTCTAAATAAAGCATGCCAATATCCTTTTGTCTACTCTATTTTTAGTTATCCATTACATTACAATCCATCTGACATACCTTCACCAATTATCTTTCACGATGCAAGTAATTATCAGTATGAACATAATGAACTGTAAGAAATCTCTTGTATAATATTCTATTTAAGTAAATAAATAAATTTGCACAGGAAAAACATTTTCTTGCACGATACTCAGGCATCATGAAATGCAGTTTTCATGCGTGTTAAGTATGACAAGACTGAAGAAGGTCTTATTTTACTACATTGAATAATTATAATTTCACAAACCCACACAATAATTCGACAAGCGCGTTTATATTGTCACAAATGTTCTTCTATGTGAATAGCTCTGAGAAAAGTACGGAAGCATGTAGACTAATTGTTTTATGGAAAATCATTTGTGAAAATCTGATACGCTTTGAGATCACGATATTGTCTCGAGAAGAATTTCGTCTTTTAATATAAAATCATACGTTCATTATTTATTTAGAATACCGATAAACTTGATCCTGTTTTCGGCAGCTGCCCTGAAAGAATCGTAATACCAAAATACACGGTTAGCTCATTTTCAATAGAGCTTCTTTTTTTATAAAACAAAAAAGAAAGAAACTATTGAAAATCAATGAATACATTGACCTATAAAATAATCGCGCATCTTCTTCATTGTTTCTTATTAAAAAAGAAAGTAGAATATATTTCTAAGTGCTTTAATATATATTTTGAAGTATTATTATTTGAATTACTACTTTAGCAAGAGAGAGAGTTTGTTCGAGAACGTTTATTCAGTGTCGATCCGAGAAAATAAATGAATCTTTCAGCAAAGAAATCAATAAGATCAGCGATAGTGTATGTTTTGTGTTCAGAGAAAATCACGATCATTTCTTATTCAATGAATATGCCATTCGACATCAATGATTTTTCTCTTATTTAATATTTATAAGAACTGAAAATATAGCTGTAGTACTTCTCGATAACTGCAAGCTAACATTGAACAAAATTCATCAATAATTCATCTGTGCGCTGTCGACCTTCAAATTTTATAGTTCACATTCGACTGCCCCCGCTCGTTTCGAATTCTTCATCTGTGTGCTAGTTGCTCGGACGATGGATGATTTCGGATTCTTGTTACAAGGTAGGAGACCAGCTGCACGCTGAAATGTTTTCGTTTGACTTCGACTTCGCATTGGACACAAACACGACGATTTGATTGGTTTGACTAGATAGCAACCTAAATAACGAAGACCTTGAAAAACAAATATTCAAGCATGGTAGTCCATACCATAGATTAATGGATCCAAAACCGAATTGGACACAGCAAGCATCATAACAATTAATAATGAACGTTCATCCCTTGATGGTTGATCATATCCAATAGAGGTGTTAGATATAATTTGAGTAGAATTCGTCATCAGATTTGCAGAAGTCTCTTGACGAATACCGTCATCAGTTATGAGAAGAAAGAAAACTATACAATAATACGGTGTCCAACAAAGAATGAAACAAATAACTAAAAATGACAAATGAGTAAACCTAAAGTAATGAAATGAAATCTTACCGATCAGAGCAGTTAGTTTCAATGTTTTCAATTTTGCTCGTGTTATCGTTCTCATGTTATGTGTGTTCATATCTTCTTGAGGAGGAGATTGTTTCGTTATCTTGTTGGTTTCGCTTTTATGCTTTCCATTGGTGGAATATTTCTTATACAGAGATCGAACTGAGTGATTCCCTTGATAACCATCGTAACTACGTTGGCTATCTGTACGACTATTAACGAAACGAAATGTTCGTCGGTCACAACGCCTTTGTAGAACGTATAGAATACGAAAATACGAATAAAAAATGATAATTAATGGCGCGATGTATGAAAAGATCGTTACTGCAATATTATAAGCTAACCGTTTGGCTAAATCAGATGAGAGTACGTCTCCGCACATTTCACGACAGATTTCTTCATTAACCAGTCGTTTGAAAATAATTAACTACATAGAGAATTAACATATGGAAACATGATCATGTTTTCATCAGCTTTTCAACTTACCTGTGGCACACAGGCTATCATCGATATGACCCACGAACCAACAACGAATAGTTTATTTCGTTTATTAGATTGATAAACTGTTAATGGATGTACAATAGCAAGATAACGATCAAGAGATATACCAATAATTGCACACGAGGAGACATAGATTCCGAGACCTTTAAGTGCTGCAAGAATTTTACACACTTCATCATTATGCCATCGACCGATTGTATAAGCGTAGATTTCACTGGGAATATAAACAAGTGTGACAAAGAGATCAGCTGCACAGAGATTCAACAAAAGGATATGATCATGAAAACGTCGACGAGAATAATGAAAAAGTTTGAAAAGTACTCGTAAGTTTGCAGTTAACGCGAGTATGAATAGGAAGACATAGCCAAGTGCTAACCATTTGTAGAAGGGACCATCAGGTCCGCGGGAAGCTTGTGGCGGGCATGCACTTTCAAGTTGATAGGTTGTCGTATTATCTAACATGATTAACGTAATTTGAAATGCAAAATAGTCTTCGTATTCATCTTGAGAATTCCTTTCTTCTATTGAAAAATAATAATCTGCTTCTTTCATCTCTAGTTTTCTCCTTTTTTCTCTTCCTCTTCGTGTTCCTCTCTCGTTTCTCCTTTCTTTTTCTTGTGTTTTTTTTCGTTGCTTTTGAGTGTAACTCATCAGCCGACAAACTATAGGAAGTCCGTTTCAGAAATAATAGAATGAAACATACTGTCAATAATTGTCAGTCGATAAAGGACAAAACCCGAAAATTTCTAATTATATTTAATTGAAAAATGGAATCTTCGATAAAACAAACATATCGTTGTATTCCTCTCGCTCATCTCAACAATCAATTCAGAGAAAAACAAATTCTCGTCTGTGCTCTCCTTCGAAAACAAGAGAAAGAAAAACAATTTCTTCTTGCCTGAAGTTAACCTATTCAATTCAAAGCTTCCTGTGTTTAAAGAAGCGCTTAAGATAAAGAAAAACTGTTTCCTGGCAATGTCTTTTCAACCTATGATTTAGCTTCATGTGATCAGATTCTCAATGAATAGTTCATTACATGTCAAAAGAATGAATATGGAATAAGTATCTTTCTCGCTTAGATAATCATTGCACTTATCTCAACGGGATCTCGCTAATAATAGTGGCATTGATAATTATCTTGTGGATCGATGGACATTGAACATTAGAAACACTCTGGAGAATTGACGAAATTGCATCGAAGATTAGCGTAGATAAAATCAAATTGTGAAAGCAATCATTTGCCGAGAGAAAACAAGATTAATTTGATGGCAAGTGTCAGAATGAACTTTTCTGTGTAAACTGTAAGCAAAATTGTAAATTAGCTACATGATTCCATAAGTCATGCAAATATTGTCATTCAATACAAAAAAAAGGTGCCCCAAAAAGACTGCGTTCGAACAGTAAAATATTTGCGGACTTAGAATTATGTTTATAATTACTCTAACACAATGGTGAAAGCAAAAATTTGTGCGTCATTGTTCTTTGACGAATGAAGGAAAATTTCACAGGAAATCGATAACTTTATTCAAATGGAAAATTCGATGAAAATAGAATACTGAGTTGTCTTGACTTCGATAAAACTATAATCTCGCGTACGTGTCCCGCGTTCCAACAATGTATACCTTTTGTCCTTCTTCTTCTTCTCCTCCTTGCCAAGATATATCACTTCATTCGTTCGCTAGTTTTTTCCCCATTGTTTCTTTTATGCAAAACAAAACATACTCGGATTCTTTTTCAGAAGCCATATGTGAGTATTTTACTAAGTACCGAACTGTCAATTACATCTGCTCGATAGAAAAAAACAGAGCATCAACAAATGCGCTTGTCGTTTTGATACGAATTTATTGTCTGTTTTAATCTATTAGCAGAGAATGTTTATAGTTCTTGTCAATAGAAAATCATTTGACAGTACGCTATTTGGGACAGACGGAAATATCTTGACGAGAAGTGCATCAAGAAGATAATTAACGGCGAACCTATGAATAGACGTATGTGACCGAAATGCGTTGATAGAATTGCACTCCTTGTAAGGAGAAAAACAACAAAGAAAAATTTATTTCTTCAAAAGATTTTCTCCATGATGAAAACAAATCGAACTGATCCTTTGAAAAAGAAACAAATGAAATCAATCGTCTTTGTTACGCATTTAACTGCATTGTTTAATACAATCCCAAGCATTAGCATAGTTAGCAAGGAGACCACGAACTTTTTCAGCATCGTCAACATCGGCACTTTCTGCTCCAACTGGTTGAACACATTGAATGAAACAGTTCATGTTTGGAATAATACCAAAGAGACGCGAGTCACCCGCGTCACTTTCAACAGGTGCAGCTGATGATTTCTGTACAAAGATGGCACAGATCAAAGCAAAGATGGCGAAGAGAAGTTTCATGTTTGAAATCGTCAACGAAAAACTAGAGTACAATGATAGAGAGTCTTGCCAATGGGTGTCTTTATATACGAAACGAATACCCCCAAATTGTTTTCATCAATTTACAGAGCAATACTTCTTATCGAGCAAAGATTAACGAGGATCGTATTTCAAATTGATTTTTCCGAGGGCGAACTTATTAAGAAAAGTTCGTACTTCACAATCGACTGTAGACATAGACATTTACGTCGCAGACAAATTATACTAAAATCCATATTGTTTGTTTATCGCATCTTGCATCTTAGCTGTTGGGAAACGGCACGAGAGCAACAGAACGACTACGAAGGTGTCAGAAACGATGGAAAATATATCAGAAAATATATTGTGACATGACGAAAACATGCCATTAAGTTGCTTTATAAGAAGATTACATTGCAATGCGAATTTGATTATAAATAACGAAAGAATATTGAAAAAAGTTCTATTGAATTAATTCGGTCAGTGGGAAAACAAAGTTTCATTAATGGATCGACCGATACGACTTTATGTGGCTCTAATCATACTAGTTGCCCTTATCAAATCAGATAATCGTTTTATCCGATTGATGAAATCCGCATCCAGGCAAATGTTTTTTTACAAAATATCATGTTATAATCTAGACTGGATTAAACAAGTAATACATGACAAGTTTCACGGCTATAAATAAATTTGAATTCACAGAACGTTTTTCGAATGAAATTCAAAAAAAGATCAAGTGCACCTGTGATCATCGGACCTATTATAGTACATTTTCGATCAATATTTTTCGAAAAGCCGAACTAATCGTCTCTGTCACAACAAGTACTCGAATCCGAATGGTTTTGAAAGTAATATGAATTGTAGTAATCTGATCTCATTGTACATTATACTCCCTGTGTAGGTACTTGAAGAAAAAATAGTCTTTTAATATACTCGACACTTAGTTTTCTCGAGAAACTTTTAAAATATTTTACTGTGCCCGACAGCCATGTAAACTCGAATATACTTTCAATGCACTTTTCATGCGATTTTATGTCACAATACTATTTCCGGTGTCAATCAATCACTAGTATTCAAACAAATCTAGAGCATCACATTTGCATTCTTTCTCTTTCAATAACATACGACATGAAATCCAGAGAGGTTCAGTCCAATATATCACAGTTTACAAAGTGCATTCGTGGTTTACAACATTAGACATTCTTCATCAAGTCACCTTGTCTCTTTTAACGAGTTTCCATTCAAAAACATCAAAATAACATTGAGATTGCCACTAGGAATCTTGATTTTGCACTAATGGTTGTTCAAATATGTTTAGCACTTCTTCTGTGCTCTGTCAAATATATAAATAACTAATTTTGATCATTGATATATGTGATGAAGTAGATGCGGGTATAGCCTAACATGAGTTCATGTTGTGAATAGAATTTCCTTCGATTCAACGAAATAATCGGTGAACTGGACGAGCAATTAGAAGATGATTTGTCGATCATATTTCATTTGAATTTACTTTATCGTTAAAAATCTTCCGAATGAGTTCTCGCTTGTTGAGTGGAGAAATGAATTATGACATTGTTAGAAAGTTTTGACCATCAACTGGAAATGTCTTCTCCATTTTGAACGAGATATGTCATGAAAAAAAAAGGCAGATTCGTTATAGAAGAAAATGGTAATGAAAATAGTTTGTAATAGCAGAATCATAATGAAGAATGGATCTCTGACGCTACTAATCGAATCTTTTTCCGGTCGTAATACCGACTATTAATTTCTCTTCGATGCCATTTCTTCCCATTAACTAAACACTCGCAATTGATGATGTCAAAAAAAACGATGAAGAAGAAAAGACTTGCCTAACTTTCTGGGTCATGTGTAACGAATAGGATTTCGAAAAAGAATTTCTTTGATAACTGATCATGGAGAAGGCTTATAAAGTACAAATTCATTAGTTTCTACATTTCAATTAATTACGATATGCCAGACAATCTTGAGCAAAGTCAGAATGAAAGGATTCGAATAGACGATATGAAATAAAAATAGAGAAAAAACGAACATGAGAAAGGATAGAATCAGTTTGATTCGAAATGAAATTTAAAAAAGAAAAATCCTTCGTTTCGAGAAACACTCAATACATTTCTTTCGCTCTTTTATCTGAAAAATAAACTCTCGCACTTGATGAAGACCATATTTGAATCTCCAATTTCCGTTCTCATATATGCCTCAGAGCGACATGCTGACCGGCGTCGCATGGAAAATTTGTAATATATATTTCACGCTTTCGTGTCAAAGAAACACTTTAAATTTCATGACGCACTACTGGCGTTAATCAACATGGATTCCACAAACTACGCAGCTATTGCAGATTGCTACCTTCCGCTATTTTCTCGGATGACGATTTTGCATTTGAAAAACACGAAGAATCTGATATTTTGCCCAGTTATGAGTACAAACAAGAGAGTATTTTTGAAATACTCAAAAAGAAGCAAAGTTTAACATAGGAATGCTTTCCTAGTGAAAAGACGTCTATTTCTCATGGAAGTTATTTTGTTAAATACAGTGTTTAACAAATAATACGTGATCATTTTCTGTAGAAAGTAGATTCTTCTTTCAATTATCAATCATTCTTGTTTTTCATGTCAGACATCGATTGAACGTTTAGTTTATTTGTTACTAAAAATTATCACATGCATCGCATATGAATAATACAACCCACAACGGAAAAATCCTTTTCCGTCGTTCACTCGTTTCTTCCGCTTTGACGACATGTCTTCATCTTTTTCTCTTTTTTTCCCCTATTTTATATCATTGCCACAAACAACGTTCAAAGATAACTTTCAGCGATCATCATACTGCCAGTAACAAACAGTTTTTTCTTTCTCAATTAACTTCAAATCTGTGCATTTATTTTTCTGCTATTCATGTTAAATGGCACACAGGAGCGTTCCTGTCAGGGAAAAAAGGCAACGAGAGGAAATAACTCATATGAAACTAGTCGTAAATATCAACAGTAAAGTTCATCAATAATAATGAGTTCTGAATAGAAGAGAGAAAAAACTGAAGAACAGAAAATAACATTCATTGCTAAATGAGACTTATACAGAGATAAAAAGAAGAGAAAAAAAACTTCTTTTTTTTGCTTTAGAGTATTCTTGTGATTTGAAGATGCAGCCAGCGGAATGAATAACAGTTCTGGCAATGAAGCTAAATAGAACAAAGAAACGGAACATGAAATGATGAGAAGAAGAAGAAACATAAGGCTTTGATATTCATGAACGAACTCATCAGGGATTGTCACTTTTCTGCTTCATTGTCGTTCTATTCATGAGGAAAGAGAAAAGAAGCTTCGTAAAGCGATCTATATAACGAAAAAACAACCTTCGTCTCAGATCTAAAAAATAAATTGAGATATGATCCTTTTGCGGAATTTGTTCGATTGCTCGGTGTCTTTGTCTTGCCTGTCAATATGTCAGTTTTTCCCTCTTGACAAATCTAATCATATTTTCTCTTCCAGCTTATTCTCCTTTTTTTTTGGTCTGACATCATCGTTATGTTATTCGTCTACTCTATTATTATTAAATGATAGGAAGGCAAACGTTTTTTTTTTTCAGAGAAGGAGGAAAACTCCAGAAGAAAAAGAAGAGAAAAATGTTCGTGTTAAGTTTGCATGTTTAACGCTACTATCAGCGACGAATTGGCCTCAAGCTGTTGAGATTTTTCAATTGGCAACTTTCAGCATGTTAAGATCCATTAAAAAAGAAATATGAAGATATTAAGTGGGTCACCACAAGCTGACAAAGCACAAACACCAGTGATATCACTTGATTGGACGGAATGTTTAGATAAACGGTAGGAATTGTTAAGCGAAATCCAATGTATCGCATTGTGAACTGCTTTTAGACCGACGGATCGTACAAGTGACGATCTGGATACGATTTTTTCTAAATTGAAAGATGTGAAAGCTTTTGAAAAATTTCATCCATTACTCATTCAACAGCTTTGTTATTATAGTTATTTTGAATATCTTGAAAAAGGAGTGACGCGTAAGAGAATAGGAAGGATTTGATGGGGACTTTTTTTTCCTAATAAAGTTCTTGTAAAATAGTCTTTCGAACCGGTGATCTCGGTGCCAACTGGTTTGCAATACTAAGCGGCAGTGTCGATGTATGTGTTCCAGCAGAAAATGGCAAAGTTAGCGTTTTTTTCAAATATATTTCGAAATGTTCTCAATGAAAGATAGTCTTTCTTTTTGATAGGGACATACACTTATTTGTACGCTAGAAGCCGGCGCTGCTTTTGGTGAATCCATTCTCTACGACACACCTAGAAATGCGACGGTTATAACTTCAGCTGTTGTAATGCTTCTAAGAGTCGAACAGAAGGATTTCAAAATTCTTTGGGAGGTAAATATTTTGCAGATTTGCCTTCGAAACTGTGAATTCATTGTAGCGTAATAAACAATATATGCATGGCGTTATAACTAGTCTCAGTCGATTGACAAATACATTAGGTATCTAACGAATCGAATCGATATACAATGATTCAAGTTAAGAGTTTTTCAGATCCAAAACGTCGTGCTTCAGAATTTGATCCATCGCTTCTTCCACAAGTTGCCAGTTCAAAATTTCTCAAAGATGATCCAAGTTCGTAATCGACAGTTTTCCCTTGATCGAAATGCAAATTCTTCTTTTGATTTCTTTAGCACGAAATCCTGCCTTACCAATTGTGCCTGTACACTCTAATTATATTTATTTGACTTTCTATTAAATCTTTTTTCTTGCTAGGCTGCTTCTGTACGAATTCAACATGCTGCATATGTTTTGCGAACGTGTATTCTTAGTAAAGCGCCGCAAATGATACGTGATCGTAAATATCATTTGAAAATGCATCGAAGTTGTCTTGTTGGCTCTGAAATGGTCGACTGGTTAATTCATCAGAGTCCAAGTGAATCAGTTCTCGAATTTTTTTATCAATCATCTCCGTATGATTTTAGTAGTTCATTCGCGAAGCCAAGCTGTTGGTATGTGGCAAGCGTTACTGGAAGAAGCAGCAATCGCTCATGGTATGATTTACTAGACTTTTTATACAAAAGGATCGTTGCGGTTGCGTTTTAGTATCACAAGAACATTATTTTAAAGATAAATATTTGTTTTACCGTTTTTCTGGTGACGAAGACGGGAAAATGATAAGACCCAGTAGTACCGAACAAAATGCAAGTGAAGAACAATTAAATGATGTGATTCTTACTTTAGCACAGGTGGGACCTGATGCTATGCTTCGAATGATTTTACGAAAACCGTAACATTTCAAACATTACTATTTGTGTTCTTCTAATCAACTTTCTTATAGACCACATGAACGAACTATTGACGATCTAGAAATCATCTACGATGAATTATTACATGTCAAAGCTCTTTCACATCTCTCATCGCTGGTTAAACGTGAATTAGCTGGTGTTTTGATATTCGAAGCTCATCCATTCAAGGGCGAAATTTGTAAGGAAATTCATCATTCTCATCGAGAAAATTTCCATTGATTCTTCTTCGCTACATCTAGTGTTTAGCCAAGGTGATGAAGGCAAATCATGGTATATCATTTTAAAAGGTTCAGTTCAATGTAGTATCTATGGAAAAGGAGTTGTTGGAACATTGCATGAAGGTGATGATTTTGGTAAATTGAGTTTAGTTAATAATTCACCACGGTGAGGAGAATTTGATCGGAAGTTTAGCAAGTTGTTGAATTGGAACTTTGTAGAACGGCAACGATTATTTTAAATGAAGACAATACACATTTCTTACGTGTTGATAAGGACGATTTCAATCGAATTCTTCGTGATGTCGAAGCGAATACGATTAAATTGAAAGAATTTGGAAAGGACGTTCTCATACTGGAAAAGGTTCCGATCAATGTTAAAACGTCTGATGGAACGTATCAAGTTTGTTACAAGTAAATCTAGTCTATCGATCAAAACGAAACTTGTAATTCCATTCTCGTCATTTCAGATATTCAGTGATGTCTGGTACAGCAGAAAAGATGCTTGGATATCTCTTAGAAACCTATATTTGTATTAATTGTGAAGAGGCTGACACGAGTCTCGAAGATTTTTTTTCCACTTATGTTATTTTTATGCCGACAAATCAAATCTGTGCAACTTTATTGACAATTTACAAGGCAAAACCACAGCAGCGTGCCGGAGAACAAATGGATTCAACGTTAAGAGAGAAAATCAAAGTTATTCGATTTATTCTCGAATGGCATGACGTGACAAAGGAAACATTTTTCGAAGATCCGAAGATCAATGTGTTCCTTGATGTGAGAATCATGTTACTCTTTAAAATCAGGGTGTAATTTAGTGTCTATTTTAGGAATTACATCAATTAATGCGTGTCGATGTGAAGGTCTATCCTCAATTAAAGGATGAGATGAAATCATTGGAAACAATTATGGAAAATGATTCGTAAGACGAGAAAAGGAAAAGTTAAAAATAATCCTCGTCTCTTTCAGAAACTCTAAGGAACCAAAAGAACCACGAAAGAGTAAATTACCATGGAAACAACGAAACAGTATCGATAAACCGAAGATGATTCGCGCATCGGATGAAGGTAAGAACATTTTCGATTAACAAGACGACGACTTTATATTTTTTCTGTGTACAAATAGTTATCTTCAAAGTTTATTGTGCTGATCATACGTACACAACGATGAAAATGCGAGTTGATACACCAGCATCGAGAATTATTCGTTTAGCTGCTGACAAACTAGGATTACGTACAGATCAGCCTGATGATTTAAAGCTATGCGAAGTCAAATCCACAGGAGGTTTGTTCGGACACTTCTTAGTTTTGATTATCGACTTCCATCGTTTCGTTTCTAGAGCGGTTGTTATTCAAGGAAAGCGATCTAAGCATTTCCTTTGGTTTATCGTTGAACGGTCGTCTATTCTTGGCACCGGGTGATCATCTCGATGCATTAGTATGTAAAAGTTTAGCCAAGAATACGATTAAATCTCCATGTCTATCATGCACTATAAGACAAGATTCGCACGCGTCATCCTTGAACTTTTCATGTTTGACTTGAATGCTAAACTAATTAGTACAAAACAACCCGATGATCTTTCACGAAAGGCTATGTTAAGAAAAGAGATTAGTGGTTGTGTGATTCTCTGGAGACAATATTTATTGCATTGTCTCGCAGATTTTCAACTAAGTTTTTTTTTAAATTCAGGTGCCTTTGCCAGAACAAGAAGGTCCACAACGGGGTACGTGGCAGAAATTAGAAATGTTCGGCTCGAAAGAACTTGCCTATGCAATAACCATGCATGATTACGATTTGTTCATGGCCATTAATCCAGTAAGCACCTATCGAGTGTTGAAATATTCACTGAAAGCGTTTTTTTTCCTTCGTTTAGCATGAATTACTTTACCAGGTGTTCGGTCGATATAAATATGGCAAAATAACATCAAATTTAGATACATTTATGCGGCGATTCAATGAAATTCAATATTGGATTGTTACGGAAATATGTTTAACACCAAGTCCTGGTAAACGGGTACAACTTCTTCGGAAATTCATCAAACTCGCTTCATAGTGAGTAGAAAACAGATTTCCATCACAAAATGATCGATTTCACTTTTCTATGAATTCAGTTGCAAAGAATATCGAAATCTGAACTCGTTCTTTGCAATTGTCATGGGTTTGAGTAACATTGCGGTTAGTCGTCTGTCTCTTACTTGGGAAGTAAGTGAAAATCATCGTCGATGAATATGATTTGATCATTTTTGTATAGAGATTACCAAGTAAAATTAAACGAATGTTTTCCGAATTCGAAACACTAATGGATCCATCGCGTAATCATCGCGTCTATCGATCAACATTGACAAAACTTACACCACCAATTATACTATTCATGCCACTTCTACTAAAAGGTTTCGTTTAAGAAAATGCTTTGCATTTCTTTTCATTTCCTTCGTTCTTTTAGATTTAACATTTACTCATGAAGGCAATAAGACATATCTGATCGAAGGTTTAGTCAATTTTGAAAAAATGGTAAGACTTCCATCTATACTTAACGCGATTACAACGTTGAATTTCAGAGAATGCTATCACACACGATGCGTACATTGAAAATCTGTCGAAGTCAGACATTGCGTACGTACTTTCTCCTCGAAAATATTCTTTGAAAATGTTAATCCGTTTTTTTTCAGAATTACAAGTGCCACAAGGTGCAAAAAATCTTTCGGAAATTCAAGAATATGTTCGGTATGTTTTCTCTGTGTTTCCCTTCTCAGTTCTCAATTTCATTCATTTGTAGCGAAATGAACGTTATCGATAATCAACGTATTCTAAATCAACTATCCAATAAACTCGAGCCGCGTCAAACTTAACATTTTCCTGTCAGTTGTGTTCTTTCCTGTATATTCATGTGATTGATTGAAACATATCGAAAGAAAATCTTTATTTTTCGTCTTGCAATAAAAAAGAATTGTCTTGTAGATTATCAGGAAAGGCATTGTTCTCACCAGGAATTTATTTGTTCACTGTATGCATCGATACAGATCAAAGAAGAAGACGAACTGTCGATTTCGATATCTTTCTCGTTTATTTTCTTTTTTTTATATCAAATGCTCATGCTGATGTCTAAACATCAGTCTTGTCAACAATCGTTTGTTTATTTGTCATTGTGAAAACGATTTGGAAGCGGAGAGTTGCGCGAACTTCGAAAACGAGAATAATTAAAGCGCTTTTCTTAATAGAAAGCCTTTTCATCATGTCAACTGAGCAATTAATTGAACGTTGGTGTAAAGATCATACCACGCGTATGTAGCTATTCGAGTTGAGATGTTTTGATCGTTTTTTTGTTCTCTATTCAGCAGCTACTGTTCAATGGTTAGTGGATAATTTCGAACCTGCCGAGGGAAATTCCATCCGACGATCGATTTTGTATAATTTTTATCTTGAACACTGTTTAACTCTCAAAGTCGAATCTTTGAATCCAGCTAGTTTTGGCAAACTAATTCATTCAGTGTTTCTCGGCTTGAAAACTCGACGATTAGGTACACGGTAATGATGACCAAGAAAATATTCGAAGAAATCATTTCGTTTATCTCGTGTTTCTTTCAAGAGGTAATTCCAAATATCATTACTATGGTATCCAAGTGAAATCGTCATCACCATTGATTAAACGAATGCCGCTGGATGTTGATCATTCGTTTTCTCATGATTTTGATACTCAATCACCCAATCTGAACATGTCACCTAACGATTATATCTCTTCTCCTTTACCTCAACATTCTTCATTCGAATCAAATGAATTGCCATCGGATATAACAGACGATGACATAGAAATCTTTCAGAAAACACATGATGAGTATTCGAATAAGCTTTATCAAGCGTTGATTAAATTTCAATATGATTTAATCGAGAAAATTCTTCAGCAGTTTTGGTCATTAACAAATATACATTTTTCCCAAACGAGTGAATTGACAAACAATGGTAGATGGATTGTTTTTGAAGGCAATTCGGAAAGAAATATCGTTTCAGATCCAATGATCGTTTGGAAATTCAATCGTATTTGTACATTCCCATTCATTCTTGACCAATTTCGTTCGTTCTATTCGAAATTTTATCAAACAATAATTGATCATTATTTTCCGGATGCTCTTACATCTTTAACACAAACATCAATTGTCTGTTTACTCTCTTTTGATTTCTTCTATTTTCTCAACTCTTCCTTTCTCTCTCTAGGAAGCCATTCGTACAATCGCAATGAATTTGTCACAATGGGTTCGTTATGCAATCGAACATCTCCATGATCCGTTGAAATCTTTTCTTCTTCAATATGCTCAAATCTTCACATCGATTCTCTTGCGTTATACATCATTAAATCACTTAGCACTGACCATTCAAAACATGTTTACTCAATCGTCACGCTTAGCAGCGATGTCCAATGATCTAACTCGAATCAATTTCTCGAATTTACACGAACAAATCAATTGGTTAGTCGAATGTGATTTGACTTTATTCACTAAGATCGAACAATGTTTGAAAAATCTCTTTCAATGTCAATCTATGTTGACAATACAACACTGGACGACGTTCATCAACACCTTACTCGACGATTATTTGATTTTGTATCATAACACTTCGGATTACTTCTTTCACGCTCGACAATTCCTGTTGAAAACTAACTTTTATTGTTCGTTGATCTTACGTGAACTAACTTTGCACTATGGCAACTCACTGGGTTCATTTCATTTACTGCAATTGTTCATCGAAGAGTATCTTTACTATCGGATCGAACAAAAATTAGCAATGTATTGCAATCAAACACAAATGAATTTCATGATCGAAAATTTGAACAATAAACAACAAAATGTTCGACGAATTTCGACATATGAAGATCTGTTCAATGACGATGAACTCGATGATGACCTGGAAAGTTTAGGCGAAGATTTCAATGATCAAAGAAGTCTTTTGAAACCATTGTCACCCGTGCAAATTGAAGATTTCATTCTACCAAATGACACGTTTTCGTACATATTTGAAGATTTACAACCATTAGTCAATGAAATCTTTTAGAAAGATTCAAAGAGATTAGTTATTTTTTGAGATATGTTCTTCATCTGTTTCTCATCAAATCAATCTTTTTTTTTCTTTTGCTTTTCTTCACTCTCTCTTGTTCCTTCTGCCATTGTATAAGTCAATTAAACTTATGATCGATGAGTATGATTTCATTTTAATATCGAACTTATCATTCATGATACCACACTAACGTGTCAAAATTGATCATTATCAGCGAAATGAACTACATAAGTCACACTCGCAGCATGTTCAGTTTGCCTTTTCTGACTGTCGAACTCTAGTGACCTTTGCTTAGACATTTTCACACGNACATATTATCCTAGAGATAGAACAATCATATTATTTGTATTTGAAAAGTGAAAGAATGATAAATCGATATGCAATCAAAAAGATTTTGTCATTCTTTTCTTAATCAATGTCATGATTTGTTATACATGAATTCATATATAACAATTGACATGTCTCATTAACACAAATTTCTAGTATTATTGCTTTTCTTTCATCTTTCTCCTGTTTTTACATACATTTGTTGTCCATGTGTGTATATTTAAGTAAGCTAAGACGATTCTAGTCGTATTTAATAGATATCAAATAGAAGAAAACACTTCTTTCATCAGACTATTGTTGATGATACTTGTAAAAAACACCGAATTGGTCAAGACTGCAGTTTTATCCTATTGTAATTTACGGACAATGGATATAAAGAGAAATAGATAGTAGGAAAAGCGTATTCAAATATGATTTACTGTCTATCTAGCATGTTGGTAGACAATAACGTGTTTATAGATAGATTTTATTGAGAGGTCGGGGATTCGAACATATTGATGGTTATTCGAAAGTGATAGAAATTAGTGATAGGGTTATCGATTGATAAGAGAAACAAGACAAGAAGAACTGATTTTCTTGTCGTCTTGAGAATCCAACTTTGTATTAGATATAATATATTAATGGGTTTCTACTAGATAATTCGAATGATTATAGACGGATATATAAATAAGAATATATCGAATAATTTGATAAACTAGTTATACATCCTTCGATCGATGTTTGTGTGCATTGAAACACTGAGTTTGTTCATCTATGAAGTTTCTGCCATCATTTTGTCTTACTTTTCCGTATAGTACAACACTAAAGTTAATGAAGATATAATATTGTATTGCTTCTTGTTTGCTTTTTTTTGCATTCATTGATAGTTGTCTTAGTTTGGATACTGTATTTTAGATTGTCTTCATATGTAGAAAAATGGGCAGAAGTTCAATATTTTATTCTTCGAAAATGTTTGTACTTTTCATTACAAAAGACAAATGAAAAGAAAATACAGTCGAAAGCAGATGAACTGAGCAATTGAAAAGACATCATTTCTAATATAAAAGAATAAAACATCAAGATCATTTGTTGAGACTTGAAGAAGTATTCAGACTGAAATCGTATTATACTCGTTTACTTTTCTCAGCTGGTACATGAAGTTGTTGAACAATTTGACTAACACGTTCCATCGGATTTAACTGATGTGAATTTTCATTTAGAATACTGGCCGATAGTTCTCGTGCTGTTGGCTCGATTGGTGCAAGAAGTTGTTGAGTAGAGTAAACATATGATCTGGGTTTCGCAACTCTTTTGTGTTGGGTGATGCTATTGAATACCGATGGCATTTTTACGCTGACATTAGCGTTACTGCGTATCACAGGTGCATCGCTTTTTGGTAATGAAGAATGAACATTATCCAGTACAGATTGTAAACGATAATGATTAATACCACTGGAATCCGTTTGAGTTTCATAAGAGTATCGATTCGACGGATCTGTTGTTGATGTATCAATAGCATTGATCGACGAGGAAAGATTCAATTGTGGTGTTATAGGTGTTGTGATCTCCAACACATGTGATAATTGATTTACGTCATTGGAAGAAATCGTTCTATTTGATTGCTGTGGACGACGTTCGGTACGCAATCGGCGCATCGGTAAATTTTTAGATATAGTTGGTTGGGAAACATAGGTACCACTGATGGTAGAAATTGGTTGATCAGGTATTGATGGTAGAAAATCATTGAGGGTTAGGGAAGCCAATGAAGCTGTTCGTTTTCCAATAGCATGCGTCAAAGACGTATTTTGATCAGCAATACTGGATATTTCCAACTGGGAATGTTCAGGTATGGAATAAACATCTTAAGGAAATGAATTTGATTTTCTAGTGAACAAGTGAGGTTTATACAATACTTTGTTCGGTATCTGCATCATATTCATTCGTCTAGAAAAGAGTTGTTTTTTTTGTGAAAAATGAAATATATGTTATGTTGATCTCGACTTTCTACCTGAAATTCTTGTAACACTGTATTGAGTTTTTTCTACAAAGACAAATCTTATAAGTCGATTTTCTCTTTTCCCTCAAATGACAACTATACTTGTTTTCGTTCTAAAGCACGTTCCGTACTAAAAATTGGTTGACCATGTCCACTTCGATTTGCATATTTGCTAACAAACAAGGTGCCTCGTGGTGGCAACGTTCGAGTGGCTTTGTCCATCTAAACAAAACAATCATTAAAAATTGTTTCAAAACAATACGTTCATTACACAAAACAAAATAAATGTCAAAGCACAAGCATCCCAATGCGAAATGTTTCAAAGCAATATAGGTCATGTAGTATATTGATTAGATCAAAAAAAACAAAGCTAGTTTAGATGAATATTCAATGGATGAGTGTGTGTGTTGTCTAGAACCTGATCAACAGAGAGTGTAAGTTTTATCTGCGAACATGTCTCGGTTTCTGATGCCATTGATGGGTAAGATATACGATTTCGACGTAGAGGCTCATATGAAGTACCATCAACATCTTCATGAATCTATTCATATTTGATATTGATAGCAGCGATGTATTACAAAGAGGTGAATGGAAGAAAATGAGATCTCACCGATACAAATGTTGTTTTGGGAGGTTGACTTTGTTGAATCTAAGGGTGAATATTAATGAGATCTTTACTTGGATTATTGGTCAATTTATCTCATCGATGACAATCAAGAGTATCAAGTCTTTCTATAGTAAAACATGAGATTTGTTTACCTCTCGTTTGCGAGCTAATTTTTGAACGCGTTCTTCAGTGGCTTTTTCTGTTCGTTTTTTTCTGGATTGTTTCTTTGGTGCAGCTCCGCTCGTCTCGTCATCTACTGGTCTTGTTCTCACGCGCTCGATATCAATGCCATTTGTTGCATCGTCGCTTCCACGGCCTTTTCTGTATGATACTTCGGGTAGTTCACCACCTTCCGGGTCGCTGTCTGAGTCACTCGAACTATGTAAAACAAGAAAATCAATTGTATAAGAATCTAATTCATAGCTAACCTTGGTGCATCTTGTTCGTAGATCGTACGATGACATTGTGTCAATACTTGTAAACAATCCGATACCGATGTCATGGGCACAATTGATTCACCTTCTTGTTTCTCTTCTAAAATATTCCATAGGTGTACCAAAACACATACGATTGTCTGTTGATCTTACCAGGGTAAATAAGGGACAACAGAGCCGGTGGAATCTTCTCTTTGTCTAATTTTTGAAGAACACATTTCGTAATATCCATAAAGATAGTATCCATTCGTCTGTATAAACAATGGAACACCTAATCATAGAGAAGACGTTCAATTCAACTTACGCTGAATCTGAAAGAATGTCTAAATATTGTCTCAATGATTCGCATATACATTGACCGAACTTTTCGTAATCTTGGATATTAAAATGTGATGGTTTATCTCTACAAGTTCGATAAAAGTGAGGAGACATTTCCAAATGAAACAAACTTACACAATACTTGATCCACCAAAAGATGCTTCTAGTGTAAAACTGTTTTTGATTAACATTTCTCTCCACATCACTACACGTCCCGTTGACTCTTTACACCGATGAATATGGAATTTACAATCGTCAAATGCAAACATTTCTGGCGCCTAACACAGTCATTCAACTAGCCAATCATTCCTATGGGCAATTTCTGTCTACTCACTGTTTTTGACATGATAAACGGGAGGACACGTGCACTTAAAAAGCTTTTCATGTCAGGTTGTGGTCCGTCACATCCATCACAACCGTACGCGAACACATTCGATTTTCGACTATGACCATGCAGATCACAAAAGGCCAAAATCTAAGATTATAACCGAAATCCTCTTGATCATGATAGGATTGTCTGATGTCAATGAATTCTTACTTCACGTCGTTCTTTTTGTAAGGTTTGTACTAGTTGTCTAATGTGATAGATAGTCGGAAAATTTTGTTTACGTGGATGACGAAAATTACGATTCATATCTTTTCCTGTTAATGAGCATCGATAATTACCAATGATTACACCGTCAGGATTCAGCATTGGAACGATTTTGAATACCAATTGTGAACGTAATCTCTTCAGGAAGGAAACATTATCAGTCATAGTTATATTGCAAAAAAATTTTCGTTTTACTTTAGCGATTTCATCATCGGACGTGATGAATTCAAGTAAACCACGCATCATATAACTTGAATTGGTTTCGCCTGGATGAATTCGAGCAGTGATTAAAACGAATTTTTTCTGTTTGACTGGTACAGCTAAAAATTCGATAAGCAAATCGTTGGTTTATATGTGAATAGCTTTCAGATTAGCATACATTCATCGGTAACAGTAACGATAAAACAGGAATTTCCTGCTTGAGATTCACAGAGAACATCACGACGAAAGATTTCACGGGATCGAGTAGAAGATAAGTAATCTAAATCATCTTTGAGATCGGTGAATGTGTAGGGATAACAATGAGATATGTAACACGTGTCACCCGTGTACAAGAATTCCTACGCAAGAAAAACGACATGGATTCGAATAGAATGTTCAGACCTTCGTCTGTTTGAACATACGAGTTGAAAATCAAGTTCGAAATAGTTTATATCACGATCGAGTAGAGAATTATAAGAACGTGGTTTGTATTCACTATAGTTTATATGATGACCAAGACGGTGCCAACCTTGCAATTCTCTCTTCTTGGCCAATTCAGAGAAAAGTAAGATTTTCATTCCTAAATCAAAGCAAGTATTCAATCAAGAGATTTCAATTATTCGTGATCGTTTCGACTTTTTGGTCATGAAAGCCATTTTTACTGCCTAGGCGACGTTCATTTACTTTAAAGGCGTAGATTCCTATTCTTCCTGTTGTCAAATAATGATTAAAATCAAATATTGACATATTCGATCGGGTGATTTAGTTAAAGAAGGTTGAATCAACATTCAAAATATTGTTGAATATTACAAGAAATTGTCTTTTTTTTGTTGGAAGATGAATCTCTTCCTCTAACCGATATGTAGAAAATCTCCATTTTGAATGCAAAGAGAACAAAAAACTTGTCTAATTACCTTCATTGTATAAACTACTTTTCTTCATTAAATTAATAATTCGAAAACGGTAGGTAATATTGGCAATCATATTCTGAACACGAAAGTAATACCATTGTATATGTCGTCGAGTGTAGAGATCCGGACGAAGAACAAGTTCATACTCAAATTGACCTCTAAAACATGCAATTTTATGGGTGAGGAAAAGATTCTCGAGGTGTTTCTTACACGCGTTTGGCTTGTTGCAAATTTCCACCTTCGAATCGTGATTCGAATATCAATGGTGGACAAATAGTTTCGTTATCTAACGGTTTTGCTTCTTGCTTTCGTGGAGTTTTATCGACGTCATACACAACAACTGCATGCTTGAATGGGTCAGTGTATTTTTGACTCGCCGGTTGATTATCGAATGTTTGGTGAACTTTCGTACCTAAAGAATAGCATTCCTTAGGTTCTTGCTTATCTTCATTTCGTATTAAGAACGAAAATGAGGGTCCGGGATGTTTTATTGGCACAATCATTGGCCAAAATGGTCCGTGATCATCAATAGGTATTTCCGTTGAGCGAAAACAGTACGTTGTTTTGATTGTTCCATCACTTAAGATAAATTGATGCTTTTTGTAAAGTCGACTGCGAAAATTAATATTTGAAAACAGCCGTTTGCTTGAATTGATCAGACTATCTTGCTCCTGTTGACTATCGTTAGGAGTTAGTTCGGTATCGGAGTGAAATTTTACTAGAGCGTTTGGTGCTCGTGAGAAAATCAACGAACTGCTCGGATTAGTGAAATTGAAATCTTCTCGTGACCAAATTGATTGTCCAACACGCATTTCTTTTGTCAATTAGATCACCTTCGAAATTTTCATGTCAAAAATGATTTGCAACGAAGAAAAAGAAATGCAAAGGAAAGAAAGAAGTAGATTGTTTGTCCTCATCATCATCATCAACATCAAATTGTTACCGATCCAAAGACAAATATAACAAAAAAAAATCTTTTTCTATTTGTCGGAATTGTTAACTTACTTTTCAACGATGAGTCATCGACTGATGAATAGAAGTCTTCTTTTGGTGTCACTTCACGCGTATTCAATTTAGGTGTAGGATGAAGAATACGATAATCACAAGGCCAAAACGGTCCATCTTCACTGATCACAACTCCGTATTGATTAACGAATGTTTTTGAATTTGTGTTCGTTGAAGATCGTTGACCAAGTAGATTCAAAATATCTGCTTTATTGGATTTGACGATACTATTTCCATGTAGTAATACAGTTGATGATAAATCAGTAGTGATAGAATTGATTGACTTTCGTTTGTAATCACCGAGTGTTTGAAAATGGAAAGAAGAATTATCTAAAGCATAATCATTATTTTCGAGCGAATAACGTCGACGACGGCGATAGTTTCCATAAGAATCGAAGTCAAAAGTGTGGTTTGGTTGAGTCGATCTTTGGTAATTTAATGACGGGAAATTATCTTTTGTTTCCGAAGGATCTTTCCCGTTTTGCGAGCAGAGAACAGAACGATTACGTCGATCGATTTCACTCCATGGTACACCTTGGGGAATGTCGACTTCCGGTTGTTGAAATGGAAGACGTTGACCAGCTCTGTAAGACAAAACTCGGAATTAAAAGTGGAAATTGAAATTCTTACTTTTGGAGAAACATTTCTTAGAAAAAGATTATCTTTCTGAAAGTATTTTTCTCTCTCAAAAAAGAATGTTTGATTTTTCTTTTGTTTTTTTTCATTTCGTAATCACATTGTAAATACAAGACTTCTGTTTATCCAAACTTTTCGTTTCGAAATCATCACAAAAGATATTTCTCCTACCGAAGTTGTTGTTGTCGTAGTTTATTCAACAATTCTTGTTTTTCGGACTCCGCCAGCAATGCCTGAACTTGTCGTTGAAGATCTTCTTCTAATTGTCGATGAATATTGGCGCGCCATTGTTCATAGGAATCCGTATCTAGAAAAATCATGTACATAAAGTCGTACGACTTTTCTCCCGAGATCAAAGAGAACGAAGCGAACCGGTTTTAATCTGCTGAAATCTTTCAAGCTCAAAATTTTGATTGGAAACTGGGTGGATCTGTGGTAGTTTTACTGCTCGTTTTTCGTTTGAATCAGCCATGATGGAAATATGTCGTTGCTAATCGTTTTGTTTGTTTTCTCGCGTTTTCAACACTCAATCGGCATTCAGTTCGATGTTTTATAAAAACTTTTCTTTTCAATGTCTTTGCTCGTTCGCATTCCTCCCTAGACAAAATGCACTTCAACATCGCAAGGATGTTATTTTTCTTTGTTTTATACGATAATGCATGTATATTGTTAAGTAACGAAACGAATGTTTTGTTTTTCTTTGAGTTTACAGAGGAGAGAAACGAAATCAGATCATGGCAAGTTTTCAATTGCAAAGAAATAAACATTTACCTTTAAGAGATTGTATAAAATCATGTTTGAATTGCTCGGATATACTTAATGGAATGTCTGATGAATGTTCATGGAGTTTGCCGTCTTCTCCAGCCATTGTTTGTCGTTTAATTTCAAGCGTTATCATTAACCGGAGTTGTTTCTCCTTCTGCCTTCGTAGCAGGTAAGAACAAATGAAAAAGAAGAAAGAACAACTCGTCTAATCGTATTAGCAAAAATAACCTTGATGATTAGATGCTTAGCTTTCGGACTTAGAACATAAATGACAGTTATGCCATTATCAACTATCATTGGATGAAAACACTTCGATGGAAAATTGTAGCATCGTTTGTCTATTCACTGTTTGAACATGTGTTTCGTAGAGACGCGGCAAAGTAACAAGAATCCACCCGCTATCATTAGCAAAAGTCTCGTTTTACAAAGATAAAACAATCTCGTCACGACAGACATGTTCATTATCTATCAATATGTTGCAGTGCACTTTTCATTTATGATAAACCTTCATATTTTGAGAAGGAATTCTGTCTGTCAAACAACATGTTTTTTGTCTCCTTGGAGATCGTATCAACTTTTGACACTTTGTCAGTATGATAATTGTATTCGTGTGAAGAAGCGAGATGAGCTACTGATCAATGATGTATCGCTTGAAAAGAAAAATATTTTTTTTAAAAATAAGACTTTTAGTCTTCTAAGATATCCATAAAAGAAGCAAAAAAAGATACAAATGAGGTTCGTGGTTTATTTCTTTTGTTGAATACGTGCCCGAACGAGTTCTTCGAGTTTTTTCGCGTCGATCGCAAATTTTCTGATTCCGTCGGAGAGTTTGTCGCTGGCCATTTCGTCTTCGTTCATCATCCAGCGGAAGGTCTTCTCATCGAGTTTATCGTATTTCTTTTTGTCTTTACCTTTTTGAGCAGCTTGTTCTTTGTTTAAATAAACATTAACTTGCGCATCGTCAGCACTTTTCTGTTCCACTAACTCTTCGAGTAATTTTGGACTTATGGTCAACAAATCGCAACCGACTAAGCCGAGAATTTGTTTCGTGTTACGAAACGATGCGCCCATGATGACCGTTGGAATATCGTTCTGTTTGTAGTAATTGTAAATACGCGTCACACTGACCTGTTGAATAATAGAAAACAGTCGAAAAGCAGAACATGTCCAAAAGAAGAACTTACAACACCAGGATCTTCATCAATTTCATAGTCACGTTTGCCTTTCTTCTCGATATACCAATCATAGATTCGGCCAACGAATGGTGAAATAAGTGTAACTTGAGCATCGGCACATGCTAATGCTTGTGCAAATGAAAAGATCAATGTCATATTGCAATGTATACCATATTTCGTTTCTAATTCTTTCGCGGCTTGAATGCCTTCCCATGTTGATGATAATTTAATCAAAATTCGATCTTTTGATATTCCACGTTCTTCATATAATTGAATCAAGTGTCGTGCTTTGTTGATTTGTCCTTCGCGATCGAATGAAAGTCGCGCATCGACTTCTGTTGACACTCGGCCAGGAACTATCTTCAGAATTTCCTCTCCAAATGCAACGAAGACTGTATCCATGATATCATCGATGACAGCCTGTTCATCCAACGCTGAAGAATCCTTTTCTCGACATTTATTAATGATTTCATCAATTATATGATCATATTGTTTCATATTCGCTGCAGCTAAGATTAACGATGGATTTGTCGTTGCATCCGTTGGTTTATACTTTTCCAACGAAGCGAAATCGCCAGTATCAGCAACAATCGTTGTATGTTGACGGATTTGTTCGAGAAGATTAGTCATGACAGCAAAACAATGAAATTCTTCTCTAAAACGAAGATTAACAGAAAATGATTTCTTTCTTCCATGGCGACCTAGTTTTGCTAAGTACAATTAGTCATACGTGTCTTTGTGTCTCTAGTGCTAATACTATCAGAATTGGAAAAGCAATTCGATGAATTCAATAACCATCTCTATTGACCTTCAAACTAGGAATCCAGTCATTCGCATCATTTACTGCGTCAGATGTTCTCCTTCCCTCGAACGATCTATTTTTAGAGCACGTCTGTTTCCACGCAACTCTCCATAGTTTGTTTGTTTCTTCTTCTTCACACATATTACAAAGACAAAGTTAAGCATAAATTGTTTGTTTTTCTCAAAACAATATAAGATATATTCCCATATTGCAAGAAAATACGAGAGCACAACTCGAAGATACTAAAAGCTACAACGAGCATGTGTACGAGAGAAAACAAAACAATGAAGAAATCAACCGAATAAGATAATAAATACGAAGATCGACATACATGTACATGTAATCAATGAGAAGAAGAGAAAACACGAGAAAGAGATCGTTCATGCACCAAACAATACTAGGAAAAGATTATTTATTTTTTGTTTGTTGCATGTTCTGCTCCTCCCATTGCACAAAACGAAGAAAACACGCAGAAGAAAGGAAATTACCGAAATGAAAAAAAAAGAACGTAAAAATTTGTTTTTTTTTCTTATGTAAGGCAACAATAACATCAACAACAACAAAAAACCTTTCCCAAGGTTAATCATAAACATAAAAAAAGCTTTTTTCATTTGAATTCACCGACAGAAGCAAAAGAAAAAGACACATGACAAAGGTAAACATTGAGATTAGACAGTTGTTTGCGGTACTGATGAATAATATCGAAAGAGATCTTGCCGATAAGACGATGGGATATGGCCGCGTTTAACAAAAACCAATTTCGTATCTTCAACCTCACAGTCGATCTGAATCATAGGTACATGGTTTGCTGGAACATGAATTGATTCTGAAAAAGAAACATATGAAACAATCATTGAAGAATTTAACATCGGAAATTCTACTGTTTAAATGTGTAACCGAAGCGGGTAAAATTAGTGACATTTTTGGTCGTTGGGTTTGGTTGGTCACCGTTGCAGGTAAAATGAAATGATCCTATAGGAATGAGATATGTAATATGAAAGATTTCCGATGAAGTTATCTTACGCGATTGAATGATACGAAATATAGTGTGTCGTTCTTACGATCAATTGCACGAATGAAATCCTCATTGTTTGGTTCATAGCGTCTGTACGGTTGTAATTGTCCTCGAGTTTCCGGTTGAATTCTACGTTAAGACTTGATTTTCAAGGGAACTTCATGTTAAGCAAACAAACCTCGATGATCGTCGATTGAGTAACGCAACTTTTCGTGATATATGCTGTTGTTGATCTTGAGACTCACTTACTGAAGTCACATCGGGAGTTGCGGGAATGCTTATAGAATTCGAATCAGATATTGTAACCGGTTTTTTTTTATCAGTGGGTTTTCCTTCATCACGATAATGATCTTGCACCCATGAATGAAGATCCTGATTGATTCTATTGAAACAGACAACAACAAAAATATTAGACTCAGATTTTATAAAGTTCATCTACGAATCGCTTCTAATTCACAAAATATTAAGATAATTCAAATTATTTACCGTTGTGAATGAGTTTTGTTAATAAAAGCTACACATTGCAAGAACGGATATGTGGGAATAATCAATGAATCATTATTCCCATTCGAACCATCATCAGTATCACTACTAGCTACATAAGAATTATCATCACTACTACGGCGAGCAGCACTAAGAATTGTTCGACCACGGATTATTGTTCCTTCGCTATTATAGCCCGAATGTCTATCATATAATGCGATCGAACCTGACGACTCCGTGGAGATCGGTACCCAAGAACTAGTAGAAAAACGAATCATTCTAAATCATTATTTGAAAATGAATTTCATACTTTAATGTAAAGATATTGAGCACAACCAAAAGAACGATACCCATCAGTATCAACGGTTTACGAGCACGTGGCGATGCTATTCCATTTCCGAGTTTATATGTTTTCAACAATTCGTTCTGTAATATTCAAGAGAAGAGAAGAGAAGAAAAGAAGGAATTTTGTGCTGAAAGAATAAATTTCTCTTACCTCCATTTCTAAAGTGTGCACACGTGTTAATAACTTGGTATTTTCACTTTTTAATCGGTCATTTTCATCCGAGAGTTCTTTCACTTTGACTTCAAGGTTTTCCATTAACTAGAGTTACTTCTTAAATGAGTAAAACATATTTCGACAGAACTGAAATACCGACCTGTTTACGTCGTTTACGTGATAAAGATGCTGATTCACGATTTTTAATCATTCGGAGATGCTTCTTTAATGCCTCTTCCTAGAAACAAGTTCGAATCGAGATGATTCTCTATACATGACATGCATTGAGCAACTTACGCTAACATTTCCATATTGAACTTTCAGTTGATCAAGTGTCAAGGTTGTCAGTTCTGATGACTGAACAGGTAATTGTTGATGATTCGTCGAACTTTCTGAACGTCGTCGTTTGGTTGGTGGCGAAGTCATTGGATTTGTTCCATTCAATGTTTTGATGAACGTACCAGTATTTACTGGTGTATTCTCATTATTCATCGGGTTAGGATATACAGTTGTAATACGTTTCACATTGGCTGTCGGGATTACGTCAGCTTCTACAGATAATCAAAGAAATGTTGAACATTAGTCGAATGTTCGTACCCAGATGAAGTCAATCTCACCTGTTTTAACAATTGTAATTGGTGCTGCTGCTGTTGTTGTTAATGGCATCTTGATTACGGGTACTTTTGCGACCGTAATCGGTTTTGATGTTGTAATTATTGTTATATTAGCCGGTGGTGACTGTGCAGGTAGTGTTGTGTTGATAACGGGTTCGATTTTGACACATTTTGGCCCTGTAGATGCTGTACCGGCATAGGATTGAAGTTTAACACAACTTGTTATTTGCTGCCGTTGTGGAAGAAAACTTGTTTGATTTACTGTCGGCTTTGGTAAAAGTACAGGTCGCTGAGTTGATATAGGCGGTGGTGGTGGAGAGGAAATGATATTTGCCGAGGGAGGAGGTGACGGGTACGGATTTTGAATTGGCGAAGATGACGGATACAGATTTTGAATTGAAGAAGGTGATAATAATGACTATTAGAAAGATAAACAAATCGGAATATTCTGCTGTGATTGAAAACTTATTCTTACAATTTGTTGTAATGTTTCAGGATTTTGTGATTCAGGTAGATCAAAACCTGCAAGTAAATCATCCAATGTCGAACTATCCGAATCTGTCAGATTATCGCCAAGCATCATAGAATCCTAAATTAGAATAGATACACATTCGTCAGTTTCCATTCATCGACACTTCTTTTCACTCGTACTTGTTCGTCAATCAACGCAGTTATATCATAGTGTTCACCATTTGGATCATCGGAAAGTGGACTGTCCGTAACCCAAGGCCAAATATCTAATCATCGAAATCAAATGGCATACTTAAATTGAAGGTAACTCAATCATATTTACTTAAATTGTTATTCAATTGTGCTGTCATTGGAGGTGTGTTCGATATTCGACTGTCATTATCATTTTCAGTTGTTGGTGATGTCTATCAATAGAAACATATAATTAATTGCAAACGAAAAACAAATTCATTCGTTTTTCTTTTCTTTACATTGTTGTCCGGAACAACATCAAATCCACCGAATAAAGATTCGTAATCGATATCATTTATTGGAATATCAAGCGTACTCATTGTTAATTTGGCTCTTAATTATTATGTGAAATCATTGAGTCAGTCAGTTGTAGACTACATTTGAAACAAATAAAACAACATTTGGTGTTTCCTTATTGAATTCTTACGAAATGGCAGGTGGAATGTTTTGGAGAATGAGCACAACACTTAAATAATCGGTTCTTTTTCTTTTCTACCAAACAAACGTCAATAAGATAGAAAAATCTACAAACTTTCAATCAAAACAAAGACAAAGTTTAACGTTGGGAATATAAATTTTGCAAACCAATCGAGACACGACAAACGTCCACGTCAGTTTGCAAATAAAGAGATTGATTCGTCGAGTTGGCAACTGGGAGGGGAGAAAGCAAACGAGGGAAGGAACGGAAGAGAAGAAAATACGCAAGCTACATTGAAGTGAATGACTCATTTGATACGGCGAACAAAACATCATCGAGTTTGTTCTGTCAGCCCTCATTTTATTCGGTGGAGAATTTTATCGAAAGAGGGCGCACCTGTATTTTCTCCAAACAAAGATAAAAGTCATTTTCCGATCCATACAAGAAACATTCTTGACACGGAATTTCACTACAGGAAAGATCGAATATGTGGGCGGATAATGAATATAAAATTTATCACAACGTCATAGTGTCACCTGCTGCCTATACTCAAGTCCTCATTTTTTCGACCACGATAAAGAATAGACTCAAATGCATTTTCATGACATATCGGTAGACGACATTCTTTCGCACCCAATCAGGTACATTTGAAAAGCTTATGATAGACGTGATTTTGATGCACATGTTGGTTGCCTTAAGTCATTACCGATAACTTCAATTGTTAAGTGTGATATCGAACATAGTATGAAATAGATCGAATATGTATTTATTTAGCATGACTAAATGGAATGATTACATGTTCTTTGACTCTCTAATATATAAAAGGCGAATAGAACAACATTTAAACCGAAAGTTCCTTATGTTCATTGTGATGTCGATGAATTCGTGTATGCCGGTCGAGATTTCCTTTGTGACTTGTGGAATAGGAGCATATTGAACAAACGAATGCTTTTTGGCCCGAATGAATCGATTGATGTCGACGTAAGAGTGCTTTCCGACAGAATGTCCGTCGACAAATATCACAATGATATCCACAACGATGTTCCATGTTAACATGTGCACGGAAATGTGCTTTACTAGTGAACAATTGCTCGCAACAATCGATTGGTTTCGAAAGAATTTCATGCATGGTTTGAACATGTCGTTTGAGATTATTTAATCGATTGGTTGTATATGAACACTGTGGACATGACAATCGGCGGCGAATTTTCGAACATTTTTCACGAGAGAGCTTCTTTCTTGTGAATGAAACTTGAGATTCTTTTTCAGAAGATACAGGAGATAATCTTGTTGATGATGGTAAAAGAAGCGACGGCAACGGCAGGGGTGGTGGTAGCTGCGTTTGCGTATAATGACCAATGAGATTTCTTAGGAAAACTTCCTGGTACAAATGAAACGATGACTCTGGTTGAAGAAGCAAGGGTGCTAATGGTGATGGATAGAGTAGGGGCGTGAACAGAAACGGATTAGAATTGCCATTTGAATTCGAATTGAATAACGACCTAGAAGTATTATGATCTTCAGTCAATAATCCACTTTCCTGACGAGTATTTTCAATTTCTTGTAAACGTTCTTCAATGCAATACTTACTCATAGTATGAACTCATCATGTTAATGTTATTGTTCAGACCATTAAAAATGACAAATGGACATGGAATCTAGGAATGTCATTGAACCGTGTGGTCGATTTTTTTCTGCGATCATTTTCTTTTTCTACATTTTTTTTCTCGTTTCAAACATCATCACAAGACATAGAACGTCAAAGACGGTACTTTTTTGCTCATGAATACGAGAGCGAACAAAAACAATAAAAAAAAACATTCGATGAGTCGAATCAACAATGACTCGTACATCTTTATGTATGTATCCAGCGAGAGAAAGAGAGGAAGACATGTTGATGTTTCATCTCTCGGAAAAGTAAATTTTAATCATGGTAGATATGCGAACGTGTACACATCAAAGAAAAGAGGGAGAGGGAGAGAGAGAAGAAACTACGATGACAACGACACCGGTGATAAACGAGCATACATTAATTGAATGCCGTTTTGAATTCACTTTCCCCAGTGACGTTACATTAGGTGTTCATTAGAAATATCAAGAAGAAAGAAATGGCGAGAGACAATATAAAAAGAAAGATGTTAAATGTCATCCCAGGAGTTGATTTGTCGCGGTTGAGGATTTGATTTGATTGGATTCATTAGGCCATGGTTACGATTTGTTAAAATTGAGCATTCGGATTTCAGATCTACACAATCTTCTTGTTCTTCGTAATATGGTTTTGGTAATTGAGATTCAATCACAGATTGTGATAAAGAACGTATATGATAGCCTGATAATGTCGAATCCAGATCACGATTATACGGGTTCGAACGATTGATGATCATCGGACTCATTCCAAGAGTTTTATGACCACGGAAAAGTAAGGAACGAAGAGTTTTCAGACGATTTGTTGCTGCTGCTTGTGGCAATATTCGGTCTTGGCGAACTAAATGATTTGACATTAAAGATGAATCATCTAAACGTAGAGATGTTTGTGAGTGATGTCGACGAGGATGTATTGGCGTTGGATATGTTGAAGTAGTTGTTTTTGTTTGATTACTCAATGTCGGCGCATGGGGATAGAAATTTCGAAAAGGCGGAGTCGGTTTGGGCTTGCTTGGTCTATATACATATAATATATACACATACAGCAAATATAATAATAACAGTGATAATATAAGACGTTAGAGATGCAGTTGCGTGCGGTATAGGAGAACTAATATGCGGGTTTGTGCTTACCGCAACGAGAAAATGAACCAAATGAGAGCGTTGATCATGATCAGAAGAAAAATGACTGCACTAACAACACAGATAACGATCACAGTCATATTCGAGCGACGAAACGATGTCGAATTTGGAAATAGATCTAAATATGTAGGTGCTTTTCAAAAACAGATATTCGAAATGTTTGTCTTCGCCTTTTTTCCTGTTTATTCATATCTTACATCGCTTATAGATTGTTTGATTGAGCCCTTGAAACTGTTGTTGTTGCTGTTTATTAACACCAGCCAGCGACATGATATTCTAGAGCAAACATAGATGAATACTTCATGTTTAACAAACGTTCTTACACACTTTAGGTTCTTCAAGTGTGCCAAAAACGGGCGAAGAATCATCATGTCCGGATGGAAATCGTTTTATTAAATCATTTGAATGAGTAGCAAATGATGGAAACGGCATTTCATCTCCTTTTCTTCGTCTGTCGTCGTTTCCTTCTACTCCACTTTCACGATCAATCGCAACATTCATTCCATTATCTCCTACTGGAATTTGTGAGGGAAGTTGTTGAGAAAGATCTGACGACGGAAAATTCGTTGATATTGGTGAACGACTCACAGCTGGTGCAACGTAACATTGCAATCGAACTGTGGCATTATTCGAAACAGGTAAAACCGAGTACTTGATTAGAAAACCGCCGTGTTTCATATGTGATAACGTATAAAAACGCAGGGTGACATTTTGTTGAACGTTACTAACAACAGTCAGTGGATCTTGCGTTAAACATTTCGTTTGAAAATCCTGACCAAGCCAAAGGATGAGACCAGCTTCGGCGCATGTTGGCAAACGAAAATCGATTACTTCGAGAACAATCGCGTAACCCGGAGTGGCAAATAATGCACATGGACAATTGAGATTGGGAGAAAAACCATGGGGATAATTGGGCGTTGAGAGAAACCCGTATGTTAAAGTTGTATCTTGCGGTTGACATACATTTTGCAATGAATATTCTAAAGGGAGACAAAGAACAACCACGTCATCTTTATGATAATCATAAATCTATTTATCTATTCATAAGACAAACTAATTTTCTCTTGTGTTTAATCTATTTATATGCAGATACTGTCTAGATTGTGAATCAGAACAACGTTTTCGCCAACAGACCTGCTATGCATTCATATTCTGCTTGAACATACGACGCAGCTAAGTTCCAACAGTCTTGTAATATCAACGGATGTTCAATAACGCGAATCGTACAATTCGTCGTTGTTAAACAGACAATATCTTCGCGTGGCACATCCATTGTACAATCTTTCTCCACAAAGGAACATTCATTCGACCACGAATAACCATAAAATATCCGTCCGAGTTTAATCAATTGATTATTCGGACATCCGAGTGCTAGTGTACCACTTTTAATTTCATCCAAGCAGTGACTTTGTTTCGAATGTCCTAATATTGAAATTCTGTTTTAGATAGAATCTTATTTTTGATCATTATTCACTCACCAATTCGTGCAATAACCAGATAAGGTAAGTAGAATAGGAGAACAGAAACCGTAACTTTCGTCATCGAAAGACTCACAATCACTGACTAATGCTTTTTCCCTCGTTTTGTCCGTACTCCTTTTAATTGTTCATTCGAACATCGTCCAGACATGAAACAAACACTCGTTCATTCATTGTTTATACATCTCGATCCGTTCTTTCCGGTAACAAACATAGTTTCGTCACAAAAGTCAGTTATTTTCGTGTTTGTCGATTTATTTTTACATACATCTATATCTCTTGTTGACATGACGTGTATAAGCTTATCATTCATTTCGTTGGTTCGACAAGAAGAAAAATTTGTCGGTACTATTTTCGTAATATTAGATCGTGAATCGCAAGTTCACCCTTTTTTTTTGTTACAAATCGATTCTTTCAAACGATTTTCCTCGAGTAGAAGCAGTACATAGTATTTTTCTGCGTAATAAAATAACTAATCAACTAGAAAAGCTGATTTGAGAATTGACTGAAAGTAATTATCTCGTTTAATAATGTTAAAGCAAAAGCAACTCGATTGATGTTGTTCCTTGGTATCTTCATTAATCGTCGTTTAACATCTCTGATGACATAAATTGATCATTGCTTTTGACATAAATATATTAGAAAAGATCTTCTGATAAGCAGCAATCAGCAATTCTCAACCAATTGCCAATTCATATTAGACAATTTGATGTTCGTCTTCAATCGATTTCCTTTGTCAGCATATGTCAGTGACACACAAAAAAAAAGAAAGTATCTCATTTGATGATTTAATCTTTCTATCTCCATACGATCGATGTAGTCATTGTAATTGACGAGCAATGAGTGTGACATATAAATGGTTTAGAATAGTAAGTAAAAATAAATAAACAAAAGAATCAACAACATTTACATATATTGTATGATCGGTCGCTGTATTCGAGAACAAAATAGATGAATACATTGCAAGAGAACATAGGCCGATGCCAGAAAACTGCTGTGTTAACGAAAAAAATCTGTCCATGAAAGAAAAACGAGAGGATAAGATCAAAGAAAACAAAGAAATAAAGAAGAAAAATAATGTTTATATAACGAACAAACGAATATAGTAGAAAGAATATCTATCCATTTATTAACTAGTCCTTGGATCGTATAAAAGAAAGAAAATAAGTCGCGTAAGAAAATTAAGATCGTCTGTTGTACGTCTATCCATCTGTCAATGATTCTTTGACGTTGCTGTTATCAAGAATCAGTTTGCTTGGATGATCCGAACTTATGCATAGCTTTTCTTCTCGTTCCTCGAATGTTATTCGCATTTCTTTGTTCTGTCTTCTATCTGTTGAGAATTAAAATAACACTGATTGACTTTTTCTCTTCAATCGAGAGAATTTATGCAGGTCGTCTGATTTCGAGTAACTCTACTTAAGATTCACCCGAATGTTGATTTCTGCGAACATACTGTTCCCAATTGTCATTTTGTTTTAAAATCACAAAATAATAAAAACAAAAGGCTCTTGAGATAGATAATCAGTACTTGTCGAAAGTTTCTAGCACACTCCAATAGAAAAAAGAAGTGCAGAGAAATCAAATGAAATCTGCTGATGAGAAAAATGATCCCATGAGATATGGAGAGATTTAGTAGAGAAATATATATTCAATGTTGGTTTAGACGCGCGCGCTAGAGAGAGAGAAACCAGTGGCGAAGAATGTTATAACGATCGAGTTCATTTCGATCAAACACATATTGCATGGAAAGAATTATACATTAAGTACCATTCTCAGAATAATACGAACAAATACAAATTACATTAGTATCCCATCACAGTAGAGGATAAGTATAGAGAAAGATTCATTCTATCATAATGAGAAAAAAAAAAGAAAAACACAAATCATGTTAGTCCATCAACCTGATATACGCGTTGTCAAAGAACGAGCGTTCTATCAGTAGGCAAGAACCAATGCAGAGTCTTCTTAACGATACAACTATGTCATTGTATAATGACATTCATATTGTCATAAGCGAACATTCAGGTCTAAAAGTCATGTACTCGATTTTTAGATGAATATCGCACTTATTTTCAAATATCTTTAGATATCAAACTGAGATTCCGTAATAAACACTTCTCTAATGAGAAAAATAGTTAATCAGTTTCCTTTTTTCAAATACTCTTATGTTATAAGAAGTTTCTGTTGATTACGTTCTGAAACGCTATCTCGACTTTCTCATGAAAGTTCTCTTCCTATGGAAGTATTTCTCTCTCTCTCTTTCTTTCTTGAATATTTAATTAAATACATGAGTAAGGTGATATATAACAGAAGTGCATTTTGATAAGTTCTTTTTCACTCTCCAGAGAGAAAACAAACGCATGCAAACTCCTTTACAATAGATGAAAGAAAAACCGAGCGAACTGATATTTGTTGTTGAGTAACGATATTAGGAGGAAAATTTTATTGTTGCCTTAGGTTTTTCTTTTGCGCTTCATATGCATACTAACACATTTGACTTAAATTAATAAGAATCGTGATATAAGATCTTTTCCTTCTTAGCCTTTTTCTCTCGTCTGAAAAAATAAGGGAGAAATTCGACGCAGACTAATACATTTCTTTGCTTTTCATTAACTAAGTCTCTCTTATGTTTGCCTTGCAGACCGATCTTTAGAATGGGTAATAAAGTTGAGAAAAATCATATTGATCAAAGTGTGATCGACAAATTAATTGAAGACACAGGTTTGGAACGCGAAGTGATTATTGCCTGGAGGTAAGAAGATGAAATGTGACAACGAAATACTTTCTAATTGGTGTTTAGGAAACAATTTCTATTGGCATGTCCATCGGGTAAAATGAATCGGAAGAAATTCTACAAATTTTATCGTACATTACGTGTCGAATCAGACGAGAAGGTCAAAGAGATAGCCAACTTTGTATTTGCAGCATTCGATCGAGATGCAAATGGCAAGATTGACTTCACGGAATTTCTTTGTATGTATGAATCAAACTCCAGCTTCTCTAATTGATTAAGAAATTGAATTTAGGTGGTTATGCGATAACTTCATTAGGTACAACGCGACAGAAACTTGATTATGTCTTTGCACTCTACGATAAAGATAAGAATAACTCGATTGATAGAAAAGAAATGGTACGAGTTATTTCGGCTATGTATGATCTCTTAGGCAAATCCAAAGTTGATTATCCACCTGAGCGTTGCGTTGAAGACGTGTTTTCATTAATTGATGTTAATAATGATCGATCATTAACCAAAGATGAATTTATCGATGGTGTTATGAACAATCCTTATCTTTCCGACATTATCTCACCATTCAATGAATAAACTCCTCGCGTATTTTGGGTAATATACAAAAGAAATATATATACATAGAGATACAATATGTGTGTGCATTGCTGTTTCTCTCTTTTCTTTTTTTTTGGCGGTGCTTCTATATATAATATTTGACTTCTGCTTGTCTCCGTGTGTATATAAATATACGATAGTATACATATGAATATGTGTATACAAATATCTCTCGAGATGTTTCCTAAGAATTTGATTTAATGAAAGAGAGAGAGAGAAAAAACAAGAAAGAAAGCAACACGTATGAGAAACCTTTTCATTTTTTTTTGTTCTTTGTTTTATTTTCAATTTGAATAAAAGATATGTGTAGAATGTCGGGCGTGTTCGGAATGATGAGCAATACAAAATGCAAACAAACTGGAAGATATGAGTGGAAATTCGATATTCAGTGAGTGAGATTTTCCTCAGGAGATAAAACAACAGTTAAGATTACTTGAAAGAAAGAATAATTTAGATAAAATAAGAAGAAATTCTTTCGTCATGTTCTCGGATACGATATCATCTCGATTAGAAATTGATGGGTTCTTCGTAAGACTGAAACTGTGATTTCATTCGATATTTGTCACGCATTGATCATTCATTTTCATATAGAAAGTATAGGGAATAATCGTCTATGAAATTCAATCTGGATCACCAGAGATAGAAAGCGTTTTTTGATCATAATTATGTCTCCTGTGGTTTAGTCAAGAAAGAAATCAAGGCTGTCTTTCTTTTCCTTTTGATAACATATGCGAATGGAACATTGAATAAAACAACAATCGCAATGTCTCTATCAAAAGATCTACAATTGAGAGATTATGATCAATCGTGGAACTTAACCTCGTCGATTTCCTTCAGCTTATTGACTTCGGAATGGTTTGCATACCAGATTTGATTGAGATAATGTCAACGAAATCTAATATGTGCTCGAAAATCTTCTCTTCTCAGATTTTCCTATCTGAAGAACTGAGTGGCTTTCTATTCCTCATCGGTCATATGTCAAAAAAAAATAGCCTACATATCAACGCATTAATACTATACAATCCTTCTTCGAATGTTGATTTCAACAAATGATTATGCAGTGATAACATTAAACTAGTCGGAGTTTAACCTTCGCACAATGATGAATCTGTCGGACGAATGTTATTTATTCAATTAACCTTCTTGAAGATCTTACAGCATAATTGAGTTCTATATAATAGAATTAGTTTTCATTGAAGAAATGAAGAAATTTGTATGTCAACACCTGAAACGAAACAAAGTTTCATCGGAGCATTTCGCCTCGTTTCGATATTAACCGAAGCAACCAGAGGTGAAACATAATACCTTAACTTATTTTGATATACGCGCGTTTTACTGCAAATGCTGCAGGGTTATCATTAATACGACCCTCATGAGTCTGTAGAAATATACACTTCACTGAATACTGCTTCATCGTAGAATTTACAGATTGATACATCAATATATGCAATTGTTTTCAGACATATCTATACTAATATTAAACGATATTTTAATGCCTCGAATGCAGAGGCGCGACGGGTGCTGCTGTAAAGAAAATCTTATTGGAACTTTGGTGACCGGTTGATCGAAGTTATACACTGCCGAATATATTTGTCCATAAATGCATTTGAAGCAAAAGAACAAACATGTCAACTGAGTAGGTGTATCATTTACTAATCTTAGTTTCTTTTATGTTGTTTACGAATATATTTTATTACCGTGTTATGAAACTAGAATTTTAATATAAATTATTCAAAGCCCTCCGGCATTCCAGATGGCTACTATCGGCAACTTACATTGCATTCTCAATAGAGTAATGGCACACTCGTAGCTGCTCTTAGTAGACGGTCTTAAAAACCGAAATGAAGCAAGTCGTAACAACGAAATATTGTCTTATTTCATCTCCTTTTATGTATCATAATTTGATCAAAGATAAGTGAAACTACAAGAAAGAAAAACCGGCATATGTTCGTTGACTTCCATTATCAAAAAAATTATATTTGTCTAAAAATCGAACGCCTACTTGTAAGATAAGAACAAGAAAGAAGATTTTTTTAAAAATAATGGACTATGACAATATGCTTGACAATCGTAAATATCTGTTGCTTTGTATAAAAAAAGATTTCGTTCGTTAATCTTGATATTTTAGGAGGTTATAAAAAATTTCTTTTCATCGGCTTCGGTGTTTGCATACTAATTACAGTTATTTACATTATTCAACGTCCGTCTTCATTAGAAAATCAAATTGAAACATTACCTTTACCATCATCGAGTTGTAAACATGTAACAGTCGAAGAATTGAATCAATGGTTTCATTCTCAAGTATGGAAAGACATACCAAAAATTATTCATCAGACATGGAAAAACCGAACACTACGCGAACGACAAGCACAGTGGAGTCGAACATGGTGTGAACAATACACAGACTGGCGATATCATCTCTGGACTGATGAAGAAAATGAAGAATTTGTTCGAACGAAATTTCCATGGTTTTATCCGACTTACAAACAATTATCACCTGCTATTCTTCGAGCGGATAGTGTACGATATTTGTATATGTTTTACTACGGCGGACTCTATGTAAGATGATTTGTTTGACTACGATAAGAGCGAAATACATGTTGATTGATACTATGTCTATTTGTCTTCTTTCTATTTAGCTGGATTTAGATTATGAATCGATTCAACGAGTAGATCATTTATTTCGAAACAAATCGGTTGTTCTTTCATTGATTAACTATTCGTTTCAAACTAAGAATAGCGTACCTAACTCTTGGATGGCTTCAAAACCTACTCATCCCATATGGACTTATGTTTTACATCGAATAATGTTACTATGGTCTCGTGTAACAGATAAAGAACGGAATGAATTTTGGAATGGAAAAGCGGAGTTTTTCACTGGACCACAATCACTCTTCGAAGGTTTAATGTTTTATATTCAATCGAACCAGTATACGGACAAACCACTGGATCAATTGTTAGGAGATGAACTAAGTCGAACTTCAAATGCAACATTGGACGCAGCAGGTATAACATTTCTTGGGCCGAAATTAATGAATGCATATGACTGGATGAATGGAATCGGTGCAGATGTGTGCTCAGCAGAACGACCGACATTTGACGAGATGAAATGTAAAGTGATTGTTCAACCGATTTATGGTATTACATATTGGTCGCATTCCTATGGACATGGACATGAAAATGATTCGAATTATTTGCAAAAGAAAGCACCTTAAAATGAGTATTTGTTGTTAATCCTTTCATGATTGTTGCTTTTCTTATGGAAAAAAGTGTTTTAACATTTATTTTTATATGTACTCTTTCTTGAGATCAACACACTCACTGGGGTTGCTCAGTAGTATCCATATTTATTTATAGATTGATGTTCCCGTTGGTCGATATATGAAACTAATCTTACATCGATACTTCTGAGTTATAAAATTCTTAGCTGGATTTACACAAGAATGAATATACAAAGGTTGTTCTGTGCGAGTATTCATTCCACATTCTATTAAGTCGCAATAGATATTTGAAGTCTTCAGCGATAGTATACGAAGATCTCACATAATTGTGACATGCATAAAGTCTAAATGAATATAATTGTATGTGGCCATTCACCAACTTAGGTAGATTGAAATTTTGTTTCACCTTGAGTGCATAAGTCTGGATAGAATAACTATGCTTTAGACACACTTGTCTTTGAAGACACGAATGAGAACATTTAACAACTTAGTCTATTGAATTCATTACTTTCAAAACTGCTGAAACAACAATAAAAATCTACCATCTTGTTGAATTTCGCTTAACTGCGTAGTTTTTTTTTCACGCAGTGATACGGTGAGTCAGACGAGAGGAAAAAGAAAATAAATCATGGTGAGAAGGACTATCAAGTCATTTCATTTTCTTCAAAAAGTATTGTTATACATTGATGAATCATGGTTACCTGTGAAGAAACATCATGCACTGTTTTACCGGCGGCTATTTGTCTCCATTGTAATCGCCGTCTGTGCACTTCACATATTGTCGCACATGGAGTAGTTCTTCTGGGAGAAGCTGATGAATTATGTCAACAGATTAGTGAAGTAGCAGAGCATTTAAATAATTCTTCCGAAGACATTCAAGTAAAGCATAGTGAAGCTATTGCTGCACTTGATGCTTGGCGACAGAAAGAAATCGATCAAATTGAAGATCAATATACGGAAAAGATTCAAATCATCGAAGCAAAACAAGATTATCTAATTGATCTTGAGAATAATTTGATATTACGACTTACAAAGAATGCTCGCGATCCTTTGGAACAGATGCAAACCCAAAAAAATGCAAGCCGTCAAATGGCTGAAACTATTCAACAAGTTCTTGTGGAATTAAAACAAGAATGTAGAAAACTGACATGGAATTCCGCGGATTCACCTGAGCAACATCTACCGATAACAGATCAGGGATGTTCATTAGGACAAAATCATCCCGCCACTGATGAACATATTCCATGTACATCGGTAAATTCATCAGGTATGTCAAATTTGCTCAGTTATTCTTGGTTGGGTAGGAAATGACATTCATATTTTCAGAAAGAAGACAAGTTTTGTTTCTATAATTTAGATTTTGTGCCGTTGGTTAAACCACAATCTGAATGTAAGCAAACAATCGCTTCTTCTATATCCTGCTATTCACAAATATCATCTTCACCTACAACGGCCTCTACACAGTCTCATTTCACACAAATAGTTTCATCTGACGTCGTATCATCAGCACAATCTCCTTTCATCGATTCGCCAATCGACCTTCAGCATCTTCCTGTTGAATCGTGCCAAAAATTTATCGATTTCTTTTTAAACGTATCCGGTTCACATGATCAGTCCATAGATAACTTCCTTAATAACGTAAATAAATCTTACACAAACAACCACCTTACTTCTGTTTCTTTCAGTGTCCCAATCAGACAGTTTATCTCAACAACTTCATGTGTGTCCTTCTATCTTTCCTCGAAGCATGGCATCCAAAAAGCTCACCAAAAGTTTTCAACGAACGTGTTTTATCCTATCATATATTCACAATAAAGAAGCACATAACTAATCAAGATTCTCAACGAGTTATCATCGCTGCAATCCTTGTATATATTCACTCATGTAATTATGATCAAATTCGATCAGGTAAATCCATCAATTTCATGTAATTCGAATAGTTCCTCGAAATTTTCTCTAGGACAAATTATGAGCAATCTCTTTCATCAGTTCCTCGATCATAAATGTCTATCAAAGGCATTTATACTTGATTGGTACGAAAACAGTGGTCGATGCAACTATCCAAACATTCCCCAAGCAAAACAATGGGCTGCATCATTTATTGACTACTTGAATTCTCCGAGTCAATCGATGCAAACATGAAACTGTTGAGAAATACCGGTGAAATTCTGATACAAATTTTGTATTCAAATAACAAACACATGTTTACATTTCGATTGAGAAAATTGAACAATCAGAATCCTATTCAATATCTTTCGCCAATTCTTCCACTAATGAATCCAATGACTTGGAATATTTACACCCTAAACATCGCATATTCACATAACATTCTGAAAGAAAAACATCAGTCAATCAGAAAGAATTCCAATCATGAAATGATTACTAACGAGCTAAACATAGTAAACGATCTTCGTCATATTGATTCCAATATCTTTCGAGGAATTTCTTTCTTAAGTCCCATTGCTTTTGACTTTCCGATAGTAATCGATAACTCTTTTCGAATTCTTTGCTGTTGAAATCTGTCTCATCGACCTTTGCTCGAGTCGCCATTAGATCTGAAATGAATTTTGATGTTTTATCTCGTAAGTCTAGTTTTGTTCATGGAAAAGAGAAGAAAAGAAAAGTCAAAGAAATGATCAAGAAGAAGTATATGTATAATATATACACACACATACGTAAGGAAATCAACACGAATGACAAGTTCCTGAGAAATTGAATACACAAAAACAAAACGTTAGCGCGCAATGAGACAAAAATTTAAAGACACAAAAATCGATTGAATCTCATGTTTTTCCTGATCGAACTTTATCGACTAGAAGTGAGCTATGATCGGTGAATATTTCGAGAAAACAAAAGCAAAGAAAATTAATAAATTATCCGACAAAATCAAGTGTTCACTGACTGACGTAAATTATCATATTCTGCTTTCAACGCATCGCGCGTTGCCTTTAATTCACTTAATTGTTCAGACGTAGGAACCTGAAAGACGAAGAATGATTTGACAAAAAGAAAAACAACATCGTCTTACATGAATATCCAAATCACGACAAATGATTGTTAGTGGATTATCGGGCCATTCGTTTTGATGATACATCCCTTGTAGACTGGTGAGAACTGCTTGGCGAACATCAGGTGCTTTAGTTTGAAAATATTCATCAACTTTGTCTAATTCAGTTTCAAATGAACGAAGAAATGCCGTTTGAGGAAGTTTATCTGTTGACTCGATTGAACCATTTTTCTCATGAATTGTTTGATTATCTTCGAAAAGTTAAATACAAGATAGACTTCCAAAAGCTTTTTTCGCATTACCACAATTGGATATCGAAGAACTTGTTGATGAATCAGGTGGTGTAGGTGAAAGGGCTGCGCACATGGATGATAAACTGAAGGAAGAGATAGAAATTTACTTATGAGATTTCTTTAGACAAAAAATAAATAAACAAACAAACATCTTTCAATTGAATTTGATTCGATAGTGGGTAAAACGGGATATATATAAGTGACGATGACGAAAGAAAAGGAGAACAGGAATATTTGTTATATCAACTAGTGTCACCTATTGTTTTCTTTTCGATTAGATTTATCTTTCTTTGATTTAAACTTCATTTTCTTCTTGATCCTCTTGTTTGAAATAAAAATGATTGTAATCTGAGATTTGCCGACAATTATCATCATGCATTGAGCTAATCAAGAAAAGAAATCGAATAAAATATACAATCGTAGTCATATTTAATCTTCTTGAAACAAAGACAATACGCAGAGGGAAATTGTGAAACAAACTTCCCAGTTAATATGATGCAGAGATAGTTATATAATCACTTTTCGCAATCCCAATAGCACTGCAAATCGTGTTCTGACTTTTATCATCGATGAACATGCACACAACCGTCACTTGTATGCATGATTTAGCGTGACAGAGAGAAGCTGACGACGACAAGTGCCGGATGTTTCTCTTTTGAATAAGAATATTCAAGTAATAGCTATATGTAATTCTCCATGATAATTTGAAGGAAAACAGAACAAATACTGGATTAATGAAGAGAGCAATTAGCATTTAGGACAAGCAAAGTAGATTTTGATTTCTATGAGGTTGTAGATGTGTTATTGTTGAAAGAAAATGAAAAATAACACACACGTATCGACAAACATGGAATCAATGTACAGATGGATCGAACAGTTGTGTGTCGGGAAACGTCGGAATGATGATTAGCTTGTTCTTTGTCTAAATAACTTGCAAATAAAAGATGAAGAAGAAGAGACGATCCTTGTGGGAAGTCGTCAATTGAGGAGAGACCACGCTGAGTTTATACGTGTGCCGCATGTGGTCAAGTCGAGAAAAAATATTCTTGTTCAAATCATAGCCGTATGTGAGCTGTACGTTTCGATCATCGTCATTCGACATCATTTACCTTTCGCTAATACTCTAATTGATCATGGTCATCAAAATACATCACTATGGATATTCTGTGTCTTTGATTTTGTGCCTAAATAGTCAGCCGATTGATATAAATGAACGTCGAATGGACAGAAAGGAAATTAGATAGTCTGACAGGCTATAAAATAAGAGCCACGCAATATCAGTTCGACATGTTTTCTCCATTATATTGTCTTCTCTTTCTCATGAACGATTCATTTTTAGATCAATCTCTACTCTTTTACTTGAGCAATGATAAATCAAGTGATGACGAATTGGTTCAGATATGTATAGATGATGATGATGAAGAAAGAAGAAGGGAGTTCGTCTTTTCTCATCAACAATAGTTAGTAGAGAGCAACTATATACGTCCAATTAGCCTTCCATTCAAGCATTTTAGCTCTTCTTTCCAATATTCTTGACACGAGCTCGTTATCATCATCGCCAAACAAGTGTCGGTAGGATGTGTGTGTGGACGCTCGAGGCCACTGTCAAGTGGAATAGAAAGCGCAACAGCTCGTTTAGACTTTTTTGACTAAATTAGTAGGCCAGCAGTGAACAAATATACATAAATACATATCATGTGATTGATCGATATTAAAAAAGAAAAGATATCATATACCATCTTAGAAAAAAAAGAAAGAATTCAATGGTAATGTACTTCTGTGTACATAGGAGTTTTAGGGATCGACATTAACGTACTGGTCGGTGTCTTTTTCTTTTCTTTTGTATTATGTTCATTCATATGCTTACATGAACATATAGAAATACATAGAGAGTAAAGAATCTAGAATAGTACACAAAGCTCATCATATAATCGTTGCGTTTTTCTTCTTCATTCAAAGAAAAGATGGAAATTCAATTGATCTATGCGAGAAGAAGAGAAAGAAATTAACTCACATCACTAATCAATAACTATTTTTCATCTTTCTTCTTCTTCTTTTTGTTTTATTCTCTGCTCATTTTTATTCAACAGGGAGATTCGCTCATGCCTTACTCTCACAAAGTATGTAAGTAGTAGTAGTATTGGTAATTCATCGCATAAGCGAACGAGCGAAAAAAAAACCATAAGGACATCTAAAGATAGAAGAGAGACTGCTTGCATAATCATCGAATTTGAAGGATTAATACGTGCGGGAAGTGAGTAGAAGCATTGTTCATATGTATGCATATGTATGTGCTCTCGTTCAGTTTATGGTGGGTGAATAGTGACCACTTGGCTATTCTTTCGACTGACATTGACATCCTTGATTAAAACAATAAAGAAGTTAGGTGTTACTATTGTACTGTACATCAGGTACTAATTTCAGTGTAATATGTATGTGTATATAAAGTAATCAAGTCAGTGCATCATCATCATCAACGTCTGACTCATCAATTTACAGTTCATTAGCGTTGCAGCTAGTGAAGAGAGGAAAAGATGATGAAGCAAATGATAACAATGAGCCAATTATTTGACTGTCTGTCTGCTTTCCTCTCTCTCTCTCTTTCTCTCTTCCTCTTTCTTGTGCTCTTATGTCTCTGCTCTCTCTCTTGTGCTCTGTTTCTCATAAAATATATCGAAGAGAAAGTGGACGAAGAAAAGGAAGGTGATTTTATTTCTTCTTCTAACTATGTTTATGTCAGATGAACCGTTCATTGCTGATGTACTCCCGAAAGCAGATCAACAGAAACGTCAGTCTTCGATAAATATAAGTGAGTTGATATCTTTTGTTCAATCTGTCCTTTACTCTATTTTGTCTACCTGCTCATCGATCTTCGCTTCGAAATCTCTCATCTTCTCATTTTTTTAATATTAATGTTTATATCGTATGAGCGCGTGCGTCGATGTACATTAACTGTTGATGATCGACGAGAAATGGGTGGAGATCAAGCATAATATACATACATCAACTGACCATCATCTACAAACTGATAGGAGATGAAAATTGGAAAAAAATGAGTTCATTCATCCATTTTGATCATGTCATGACAAAGGCATACAATGTTCTTACTTTCTGTTCCGATGTATTCAAGGTTAAAAGTAATAGAGACCTAAGACAACTAATCTTCCATGTATATAGACACATGCATGAAACCCATAGGGTCTAATATATATATATAAGAAGCTAAGTTGAAGTAGTATGACACGAGAAAAGAAATACAAGCAAAAGGAAGTAGTTGCAACCGTCAACGGTAGTATAGCGTGTGTAAGGTGTTAGAATTCGCTTCTGGCTATTCAACATTCATTCATATATACATGTATCTATGTACGCAAACATGCGTGAATAGATAGACAAGCTTAAGTCTTTTCTTTTCCCTTCATCACACACATATCGCACTTTTTATTTTCTAGATGTATGATCGTTTTTCTACATATTGATGAGATGATTATCTGTCGTCTGATGACGACATTCATTTTAACCGTTTTGCACACAATGACAGCGAGTTTCCAGGATGATCCGCAGATATCTCGCGAGCACATTAATGTCAACGTAGGCAAACGGGTTCGAATGGAATGCGAACTAAGTAATTTAACAATATCTGGGAATATGAAAGTAAGTTCAATTATGAATGACATTCTTCTTTTTTCTTCACCTGTCGTCAAACGTCTAATGATCATTGACATTTGAGGAGAGACGAATGAAATGAAATGAAATAGAAAAAAAAGAAGGAACTTTTCATTTGATTATAATCAAACTTAATGATCCCTATGTGTTTCTTTTTGTTTCGTTCATTCAGGGTCTATGGCTCCGTTTAGAAGATGCCGAAGTGTTTTTCTATTCAACAAGTCGAATCAATTCCGATCAACGTTTTCAAATCGAGCAACGTCCTATCCTACATATTAATAATGGAACATCATACGAAATAATGACATATTCATTGACAATTGATGATGTACGTTTAGATGATGGCGGGACATATTCATGTCAAGAAGATAACAGAATTCTCAAACTATTTCTTCTGAATATTGTTGGTAAGTATGTTCATCATCATCCGTTTATGACATATATCTATATCTTACATTTGATAACAGTGCATTACATCATTCGATTCTCTCTCTCCCTCTCTTTCCAAAGATTTCAATAGAGAAGAAAAGGAATTAAAACGAGACGATGATTAGTCATCAGAGTCCTGTTGTCCATTGTTCAGTACTAATGAACATTGGGTCAGCATTTACGTTTTGTTTCTCAAGTGGACACTGAATATCCTTGTTCCTTCTTTTTATTTGATTAGAACGACCCTACTTTGTAACACATGAATATACAACATTATTACGTACGCAAATCGGTAAAAATGTGTCTATTGCATGCGAAGCACAAGGCAAGCCCAGTCCATTTGTCAGTTGGATAAAAAAGATCGATGGTAGAGATTAAAAACAATAAGAATCTTTCATTCATTTCTTTTGTTTGCTCTTCCTTTCATCAGACGATCAGCCCAAAACGATGATCAATTGTACAACTACGCCTACCACCTGTCAATTGAATCTCCTCAATGTTAATCGTTGGCATCGCGGCGTTTACGAATGTGTCGCAACGAATTCGATCGGTACCATTGGACGATTTTATACTCTAGATGTTCAATGTAAGTTATACTGAGGACAAAACAAGCATCTAATGACACCCATTGTCTTATTAGTTCCTCCTGATGTGTATAGTTCAAAAGTAAAATCATTTCATTCAATTGGTGATACAATTACGTTTGAATGTTTGATTGATGCTAATCCGGAACCGGATATACGGTGGTTACATAGATTCAACGATGATATTAATCAAGAAATGGATCTCTCTCGGCAATATAATCAAGGATTTTATAATAATAGAAGACGAGATGGTCCGATTTGGTCAATTACCCAAGAGAAAATCAATTCCACTCGATGGAAAACTATTCTTTTTATCAAAGTAAGACAATAGTCAATGTATTCTATCAAATGAATCCGACACAATTTACTTTAGCATATACCAAAGCGATTTTTCAACTCAAAATTTATCTGTCGTGCGAAGAATCGTCACGGACAAAATGAAAAATCGATCACCGTCATTCAAAATCAGCATCATCATATAATTTCGAAAAAACATCGTCATACATCCCTTTCAACAAGAATCCCTACAACAAGTCTCCCAAAACAATACAGTGCAGGTGAATATCAATCCACCAGTACAGTTCGTAAGTGATCTTTTCCAATAGAATCACTTCAAATCTTCATTGATTATTTCTTTAGACTTTTTCTCCCAAGAAACAGATGAACTATCCAATGATTCACAAAAACTCTCACCATATTTATACTATTCACTTCTTTTAACTTTCTATTCATTTCTATAATGAAACAAAGCTCTATACTCGCATTTTGTTCATCTTCTCTCTCTCTCTCTCCGTCCGTGATCCATCGAAGAACTCTTTTTTTTCAGTATTAATATATATGTTTGTTTTCTCATTTTTTCGTCATCGATTACTCTCACGAAAGAAAATAAACATATCTATTGTATAAAAAAAAGACCAATCAAGTACCTCATTGTTTTCAAGACAATGACAAATTGCTCGCCGTTTAGCTTGTCAAAAATATTTTTAATTATGCCAATAACTCTTGACATATCACGTTCTTCTATTAATCTAATAAAACAAATATTCATTTTGTCAAATGACCGTGAGTGGGCCACACCATAATTCGCGATTAGCATTAAACCGATGATCACTTTTCCCTTCCGGTTGATTCAATTAACGATTGCATCATCGAATGAGACAAAACTAAAAAGCAGCTACTGTTTCCGAGAGATGTCCTATATTTAAAAATGCATGACAATGACAACGATAAAAAAACCGCGGGCGCACGACAGAGAGAGAGAGAGAAAGAAAGATAGTCAGAAGTAGAAAAACGACTAGTCGAATGAGTATCGAACATGAGATTCGCTATTCATTCATTTTCTTATCGAGAGATGATTGCACGAAGACGAAAAGTTTCATTCTCTGTTCAACACAACAAGGCGCACAAAGAGAGCACGAATAGTCAATTTTGTGCTTTTCATCTTGAATAAAATACTGAATGGACAATGTCCAGTGATAGATATTCTTAGAACGACACACGCACAACATGAGATTAATAAAATAGACGAGATCAATGGACATCTGACTTGATTCTTGATTTTTCTTTCGCAGTTTCACTTCACTTCATTCGGTTATTTGTATCATTGGTGCCATCGGTATCCATACGACAAACTTGTCGAATCCAAGATGAAACATCTTGATTATCACTTTCGGTTTCGTATCGTTTGTAGAACGAATGATGCTGAATTGAGGAAGTAAAAGAAAAGACTGAGTTTGAAGGAGATGTCAAAATTAACTTACTAAAAGAGTATTTAGATCAGCGCGTTCAGTTGTACTTTTCTTCAAACTGAAAATGTTTAACGTTAGATGAAAAGTCAAAGATCAAACAAATGTTTCATTACCAGCGATCGACAAAATCATAGAATTCTGCCGAGAAATGTGATCGACATAGACTCGGTGGTGTTTCATTAACAATCCATTCCATCAATTCAAATATTGCTAAACCTTTATGACAACCGTATCCTAAATGTGATATTATTACATTTGACTCAAATTCAAATATTCAATGACAACAACTCACCTTCAGGTCGAGGTCGATTACCATGTGGATCTTCTTTGAATAAATCATCAATGTCTTGACTTGACGGTGGTGGAATCGGGTATCGACCAACAGCCATTTCCACAAGCGACAGACCCAGTGACCATATATCACTCATTACTCCATAATGTGCACCTTCAAGTCTCTCCGGCTTTGAAGAATGAACATTATTACCCGATACGATTTGAAGAATATAAAGTTTTCTTACCGACATGTATGAACGAGTGCCAATAAATGTATGTAAGGTTGAATCAATCAATTGTGCACTTACACCAAAATCGCATAGTTTGATTTCACCTAGAATCGATGAATCATGTTCTTCAATGTAGTGAATGTACTTGAAAATGAATTTGACCTTGATGATTGACAAGAATATTTGATGGTTTGATATCTAAATATTATGAATGAATTAACAAGAATAAATATTCATCGAATGAATGTGTACCTCGATGCATGATTCGATGACGTTCACGTAAATAACTGAGACCACGGAGAACCTTTTGAAAGACGAATTTGATTCATTCGATTAGATGACATTTCGATTGACTTACAGCAACAGTTATTTTACCCAGAATATGTTCAGGTATGCGCATGACTTTCTTCAATATCAGATCCAGTGATCCTCCGTCCTAAGAAAAAATCGTAAATTTTATCAATCGAAAAGTTAATTAAGCGTATAATTGAGACTTTTAAACGTTAATTTTACATATGTCGAAACGCAATTTCACATATAATTAACTAATAGATACCGATAAACTTGTTTGTTTAGAAAGAAAAACTTCAAAATCTATTTCCGCGATTTTTAGTATGAGGTGTTTGTTTTCTACTTACCATATACTCCATACAGATACTAATTTGTGCTTCCACAGCAAATGCGCCATAGAAACCAACGATGTACGGAGAATTGCATTGATGAAGAACCTAAAAACAATGCATTGAACAAGTTTATTCTCACGATGAAGATCATGTTGTACTTTTAATTCACGAATAATTTGTGTTTTTAAAGCCGGTTTCACTTCCAAATAGATCAACTACAATACGAGACGAATATTCATAGTAATGAACCATTTCACAACTTGTTTCTTTCATACTTTTCTTGCCATGATTTTCTCTGTTGGTTTATGTCGAACTTTCCAAACCACTCCGCCATTTCCTTGACCTAGCTCACATATATTTACAAGATCATCTTGTTTTAATTCTCCCACAGCACGTTTTGATTTGAAAAACTCTTCCATTCGATCTTTTTGCTTGTCAGTGCAATCCAATTGATTGAATTCTTCTTGTAAACGTTCAATGCAAACATCTGGAATACTAAAGCCAAAAGAACATAAACTTCAATCATGAAACACTTGTGATTCTTACCCATTTTCAGTATGATTCTGTTCACTGGGATCTTTTGGTACTTCCGGTAGTGTTAAACCTAATTTATTCTTTCCTGATGATATGATTTCATTGATGGGCATTTTAGTTTGTAATCAAATGATCAATCAGATAAATCTCTTAAGATAGAAATATCATTAGCAGAATTGCAGATGCGTCAAATTATATATTGACAACATGATAAACAAGATGATACGAGCGCCACTTTCGATGTCATTTGTACACGAATATTTACTTATTGGTAAATTTATGAATAAATCATCGATTATTCTCAGAATTAAATCGAACTTTTTGAATAAGAAAAAGTCGAATTTTTTTAAGATGAGCTTTCATTCGTCGATATTCTTGTCCAGTGAGATTGAAGTGAAATTATTAAGCAATAGGTTTTTTTTCAAATTCAAATCAATTTGTACTAGTCCAATAAATGTCGAATTATCAAGGCCGAAAATCGGAATATACGCCAACGGTCTACACACGTTATTTTGAACGAACTGAAACTCCTAAACAGTCGAATGGTCATATCTATTTCGACGACGAGCGCGACGAAAAAGCGTCAAATTATCAAATAAAACGTGATCTTATATTTAAACGATTATTCCCTTCCAAATATGCTCAATCAAATAATGAACAATCTGAAGCCGACAAGTAAAATCTTTTCTACCAAAAGAAAACACTCGATTTGTCCTTTATGTAACTAGAAATGAACCAAAGAAAACTAATACTTTGTCAAATAATGATGCTGCTCAGCCATTAGGTGATTTTATTCCACTTTCTAGTTCAAAGTAAAACATTCAATCAACACATCTCATTTCATTCTGATCTCTTCGTCCCCCAATAGAAAACAACCAATATCTGAAAAAGATATCACACTTTCCAGTTCAGATGAACTTAACGATGATGATGATGATGATGTTTTAGTAGAGTACGTATTCACCAATTTCACCGAGATCTTCGACAACATTTTTCGAACTTTTAGAGCACAACTGCCGACAGTCGCACATGAATCAATTATTGGTCATGTTCATCCTCGTACAACAATCGAAAACGTTCGAGCAATTCTCATTCGTGAATTCTATCAACGTACCAGTGATTCGCATACGGAATGGTTGAAATGCAAAATGGAATTGCCCAGAGAATACATTAATCCGAAGTATTATGCTGATTTTCAGCGACGATATAGGAAAGATATTCAGAGGAATGCCACGGATAAGAAGAAATTGAATTCAACAAAAACTAAAACTGATAATGGTTATCATGCTTTTAATTCAACGAAAACTAACCAAATTACCAAAGAAACTACTGTTAAATCTGAGAATGGTAAGGCGAGACTTTCTAAGAAATTTCGACAATATGAATTGAAATAAGAGAGAGTGTCTATTTTTGGTTTTTAGACGAAATCATCGAAACTTCGTACATAAAATCGGTTAAAGGCAATTCATCTTCATCACCCATTGTTCTTTCCAACAGTGCTTCTGTTGAATCCAAGTCTCCACCTGAATTTATCGTTCTTGACACCGAAGACGATGATAATGATAATAATCTCGATTCCACTACAAACACCTCGTACTTCATCGATCGTTCGTCGACATCATTCGCCAGCGCATTTCAACCAACAACTGACACATCTAACAATGATTATCACGAAGAAGATTCCAAATACGCGCAGTTACCATCCCGTGCGACGTCTTCATCAACTGTGATTCGTCCTATTCTCAGTAAACATCAACGACGTCGACAAAATCAAACGAAACCGTCGACCAAACCGCTTGTCTCTGCAATCGATCGCATTATCGATCATATGGATCAATCGAAAACCTTAAATGATTCACATACAGCAGAAGAACAAAATCTTCTCATAAAACAAGTTAAAAAGCGCAAGAAAAAGAAGAAGAATAAGTCAGTTCCTGCTAGTTAAATCGTCGCCATTTGTTTGTTTTTCTTGTTTGTTATACGAGTAACTGCATAAAGTCTTTCCTTTGTTCTTCTTGCATCAAGACATTTGTTTGAAATTTAGAAAAGAAAAGAAGTTGAGTTTAATACATATTTATATTTCTTTATAAATGGAAAAAACGAAAAAAAAAAACTCTCACATTTGACTTTTCCACGATAAAAACGGAATGATAACACAGTTAAATACTGTTTCTGAATTTTAGTTTTTCACTACCACAATATATAAAAGAATTAAAGCAAAAAACGAGAAAAAAAACGAACTGCCACCGTAAGACAATGAACAAAAGAAAAACGAATGAAAGGAGAAAAAAAATATTTGTAATAACAATATCAAAACTCGAGAAAAATGTACGTCTGTGTCATGTACGGGTGTTAGTTGCTTTTTCTATTCGATTAATAACTCTTTAACATTTTCAACCCCATGAAGCGGATCTGGTTGAACAAGTGTTCCATTGAAATGAAGTTTCATATGTTCTCCAAGCTTAGACGACGATGTTGTATGAGCAATAAAAGAACAAAATGGACATGATTGATTGTTTTGCAGATGATTCGAATGATCAGTATAGATATGCATGGTAAACTGTTCAAGATTTTGGAAATTACTTGATGTTGATGGTACACATAATGGACATTGAAAAATATTTCTAGTTGAATCGACCGGTAAGTTGCTATCGTCATTATCCATCTCTTCTTCTTCATCAACATCATCATCACCACCGCCAATACCTGAGGAAGAGTCGATATCAAATTCTTCGTCATCATGTTCGAGACGACGATGAAGTTGTAGTGCTTCGGAACGATCACATTGATATGAACACATTGGACATTGATGCTGTTCAATAACAGTTGCACTTGATGTTCGAATGACAGACGGAAATTCAGTTGGCATTTGACTAGTTGGATGCGCGATTGTTATATGATGAATCATGGACTTGGAAGATAATACTGCATAAGAACAGAGGGGACAACTCACACCTTGGCCAGTTAAGTGAAGTGTAAGATGACGTTGAGCGGAATCGAAGTTCGAACGTTTCCATGGACATTTTGAACAAATGTAAGCCACAGTGGAATTATTGTCTTCGTCTTCATCGCTTTCTTCAGCATCGGAATGCTTATATGTCGATTGATTCTGATGATTTCCATTAGATTGTTTGAAATTCATTGGCATGGTCACTTGATGATTTGGTTTAAGAGACAGATCTAATGGTGCGTCGCCGTCATCACTGTGCGAAGGTGATGTGGTCAACAGAAGACGTGAGACAATATTCGATGAATTGGGTAATTGTTTAAACTAAACGGAGAAGAAAAATTTAAATAGGATAAGAATGAATAGTCTGCGTGTTTACTTCATCTTTTGGGTTTGATAGAACTTGATTGTAATTTTTAGTGAGAATTTTTGGTTCATGTTTCACTTTGGGTTTATTCAGACGTCTTGTATCATCATTAGTTGATAATGGCATTGAAAGGTTTCTCTTTAATTTATTCGAATCCATCGGTGGTGTCCCACCATTTGTATTACTCTGTCGAAACGAAGATTAGAAATGAATTGGACGAGAGAAAGAAGTATTTGACTTACATATTGCAATGAACCATCCTTTGGTGTGAATTCTTCTTCAGCTTTAGCCCAATCGTTCCATGTGCGAAATGTTCGTCGCCGTAATTCTTTGCCAAATGTATTTTCATATGTTTCGATAGTCGCACGTGCTTCTTGTTCAGTCATCATGATCATATCTAAGAACACAAATCATACATATCACATTGGTTTTCAATTAGTTTACCTTTATTATGATCAGGCTCGGTTAGGCTATGTCTGATTCTAACGTGTCGGATCATATCTGTTTTCCAATTTGAACGATAGAAACAATGGCGACATTTTAAGCGTTTAATACCGAATTTCGGTTGTACAGCGTAGAGACCAGCATTGATTTTCGAACCTTGTAGTGACAATATAGCTTCTTCGACTGCAGGAGGAAATTTGGCTTTTGCTAATGCACTTGTTGGTGATAATGGAGCGGTCATTGGGATTTTCGTTACGGTTGCAATGGTTGTTTGATGTCCATTTTTGTGCTTCGATTTCTTTGAATTCAATTTCAAAGTGTGATCATTTAGTGCTGACCGACACTGGGTTAACATATGAGCATTGGGCTGATCAGAATGTAAATCGTTGATATGCTTCTGGATATTCCATGGTACATTAGATGTAAATTCGCATACGGAGCATTTATATACGAGCGCTATTGAACCGTTGATGGTTGGATTCAATGCACGAGCGTTGTCACTCTCATCGTCTTCATCGTCTGGATCTTGTTGACGAAGGAAATCGACTTGTCCATCAGTACCAGTGTCATTACATGAACTACTCACGGACGATGATTCGGAATCGTGATTATCAGATTTATTCAAAAAATCTCCTAATCAAACAAAAGAAAATCGATATATAGATGACAGGTATTCGTAATTATTACCATTTTGATAGGAAAATGCTTCATCATTGATCGGTGTTCCATCTGGCTGTATGTCAAGGACAGAGGCGGTTTGCAGTGTATGAAAATGTTTGATATGCTAGAAGAATAATGCAACTTCATTAGAATCTGATCGATTTGAGAATTAAAAGAAAAGACATACACGAATAATGACCCACGTGTGTTTCGATTGCAACGGGCACAGCGAACAACGAAATCGTTTCAATGGTGGTGTGATTTTCTGTAGTTTGACAGCTAATTCGGCTGGTAATTCGATGACATGTGCATCGGGTTGATCGGGATGTTTTGCACGTATGTGTCTTTCAACTACCCACTTGTAAGTACCTTGTTGATGACATGAACTACATTGGAAAACGCGAACGGGCGCAAAATTTGGTGGAATAGGTAGAGCTGATGGATGCTGTTGGATGAAATTCACCTCCGTTTTCTTCACTGTTTTGATTTTCTCTTTGCGTTCTTGTTGCTCAAGTAAGTTCACATTTGGTTTGGTGATGATATTCAGAGTGTCTTCATCATCATCGATTGCTCGATCGTCATTAGATGGAAATGGATGTTCAAGATTGGATACGGTTACGTGACTTTGATGTTCAGATTCTTGTCGAACCATTTTTATGACTTTAGATTCAACATTCGGATGTTTCCGTGCTTGATGTTTTCTAATCGAAACGAAAAAAAAGATGCAATTCGAAAATCGATGAAACGATAAGCATCAATTACCGAACATCTCCACCGTAATTGGATGTATAATCACAATAAGGACAACCGAAATATCGCACAGGTTCATCCGGTTCACGAGAGATATTCGAACTACTCATAATACCATTGATCGATGATCCATGTCCACTGGCTTGTGTTGACATAGTTTCATCTCCATCAGTCGTATCGAATAAAAATCGTTGAATATAATCATTTGAATTTATACTGTATCGATGATGTTTACGACGAATATGAAATGAACAATCACCTATGAAAGAAACCTTTTCGAATCAAAAACATAACGACATGTCTGCCGTTTACCTCGATATTTGTACAAACGATTGCATAGTAAACATCGATAGTTCTTATCACGAATATGCCCTATGATATGTAGTTTGAATTGTTCAATGTCTGCGGTCTTATAATCACAATAAGGACAATTTGTTGCCGCATTTGCATCGGATGGTGTTTCATCTAAGAAAAACGACGATTGAAATAATTATGCGGATTGAATTCGATTTACCTAGCTGCTCAGATGGTTTGTCTAATGAATCGGTCTCATCGATCTTAGACATATCTACTTGCTCTTTACTGTTCTTATTTACTTCGAGATCAGATGATTCCATTTGATTGGTTTGTGATGTAAGAATGTCGAACGTTTCTGGTCCATCATAGTTCGATAAATCAATACGATGTTTTCGCTTTGCATGTCGTATCAAATGTCCAAGACGATGATATGTTGAACCGCATGTTGGACATATAAGAACAGCTTTTGGCGACATGGTTGTTGGATTCGACGATGAATCACGTTCGTCATCATCGTCTTCATCCGACGTATCTGAGTCGTCACCTTGTTTTGAATTATTATCATCATGGTCATTGACAAAGACATTCGGTGGTGTAGTTGGAGACAATGTGCGTCGAACTCGTTTGACTCCGAATGGATGATCTACGAGAAAAATGTAATGTGTGTTTCAACTAGAATTATGTAATCCTTTTCTTCGACGGAAAAGTCTTTCGTTTTGTCTTTCTGTCAGATAAGGAGAAGAATTTCGAGTTCGGTTGACCGGAAAATTTCAAATCGAAAGATGTTCAATAAATACCTTTTGTTTGTTTAATACCATTCAATGACGATTGAGGCTAGATAAACATAGATAATATCGAATGATTGTACGATAGAAAAAGCGATCGAACGAGGTTAATGTACGAAATTTACCTGTTCATCATCAGGCGCCTCGCGTTTGCCGGCCTTGGTAGTAATGTTCGATGATGATGATGATGATGATGACGATTGTATATGTGATGGTAGTGGTGCATCTTGACACCCGTGCCCGTGCGTATCTGAATGCGTATACATATGTGAAGAGTAGATCAAGGTGACATTAAATTTATTTTATACTTGTTAAATGATTTTCAAGTGCTTGTAAATTGTCTGAATTGAATGGACAATAGATACAAATATAAGCTGTTGATGCATCGTCAGTCATCACCGGTGCTTGGCAAAATGGAAAAGTGAAAAAAACAACAAATGACGATTAGATTGAAACAATCTACAAACGAAACAGATCAATAACGATTTATTCGAGGGAAAAAAAAACGAGAAAAAATGCTTCATCCATATACATATGCACATGTCAACTGTGATTGATCATCATACGTGCACACTCATTCACGATCTATTCTTTGAGAAATACATCATTTGATTTCTCTTCTCATCGTCTTCATTCTTCAATAACAACAACAACAACAGTATCATTTTACGTCATACAGGTGTATTTCAATGAAT